TGATAATCAGTTCCTTTTTTTGCTTGATGAAAACACGATCTCACATTCCATCCACCGAAGAACGTTGTTTTAAGTGCATTAATGCACTGTTTTTGATCTTGTTCATTAGCCAGTTGGATTTAATGTCCCACTAATAGGTGGCTAACCTAGAAATAGGACTGGGTGGCTACCGGCAGCCCAGGGACGCCTCCCACACTTTGCAAGCAGAGGTGGGACCCTGTAGACGTCCGAAGACGTCCCCGGCAGGCCAAAGCATATCAACGTTATGAGGGAAGTCCAGGAACTCAGGGAATCCAAGGAGCTCTCGGACTCCAAGGAATTCAGGGAACTCAGAGACCCCAACAAACCCACGATACAGTGTAAGTGTATATATCAAGGAAGTTAGTAGAACACACCCATACCCACCCCTAGTAATATTAAAATCATCGATAGTATAATGTCTTACTCAAGAATATTGGTTTTATATAATCTTATTAACATGCACTATGTTTAGAACCGTTTCACTACATATCTACGACCTATCTTGTCATTTTTCTTTGCTTCGAATATTTCTATTCGCCGAACAAACCAAAATAAATGGCTACAAGCAAGGCATTTTCATATAGCAGTGGGGAAGTACGTACCTCAGAAAAATTAACTGTGTCTAATGGATGCTCTACATTAGTATTTACCAAGAAAGCTGATAATTCGGTTATACTTGAATATGTACCAATTAATCATTTGACTAGTAACAGTGGAATGGGTGGTGATGGAGTACCAATTTTCAAAAATCTTCAATCAAGTGAATGGATAAAAATCATGGCTGCGTATGAAAAAGCTAAAAGTCGAGGAAGACCTGGTCATATAGGACCTAAAGGCACCACCGTTTTTCAATATCAATCTGAAACAATATCCGATGGTTTTATATTTGACCTCCACGTTTCCAATACCGATTTAATTAGGTTTTTTTATAGTTATATATAGTAGATATGTACTATAATCTACTGTAGAAACAAAAACATGTACTTTCAAATATCTAAGAGATAAATGTATATTTATTGGGTGTGGGTGTGTGTCTTGGCGCGTAAGTGTTTGCGTGGGTATGGGTATCTCAGTCTTTATGACATCTCCACCCCACAAATATGAACTCCTTTTTTTGTGAGAAATGTATTAATATAATTAACATTCGAAGCAGTAGTAAAAGAGGATAAACATCAAATGTTCATCAGAGTAATACATTTAGCATAAAGTAGTACAGTATAAACTTGTATGACTGTGACTAAATCGTCTTTATTTCTTTAAGTGATAAGTTACATTCTTTATTCTAAGCAAATGAAGTAAAATATTTAAAGGACCATGATGATTTACAGTAAAAAGCGTACGTTCAGGTTTCATATTTGTCGATTATTTGTTGTCAAAAGCTTGAGCTCACCGTTCGATCCAGCCCGTAGAGTTATATTTGGCTCACAATACTGTTGAAATCGCTAAATAGATGAAATAAACCATTCTGAGAAAAATATTGAACCCATTGCTTCCCTCTTTTACGTAATTGTCAGATCCTAGTATTTTTTCGATGCTGTGCGATGATGAAAAAAAGCAAGTAATGTAAAAGCATAACACACATTTTTCCTAATCTTCTATTCACGATCTTTCTTCGTTCTTCAAACTGGCCGGCTAATAAGAGACAAAAAATAAAAATAAACATAAAATGTTTTTTGGGAGAAAACCTAGACACTTCATCTGTATATGTCGATTAGCTATTTACTACGCACAGATCAGAGACGTGCACAGGACAGGACGGTCCTGCTGTCCTGTCCTGTCCTGTGCACGTCTCTGAATTTGAAAATGATATCAAATAGACTATTTCTAAAATTACTAATAGTAATGTTTATTTTGATCAACAATAGCTAGCATTCGAACTCATAATTAGTCTTTAGTCACCGGCAAAACCAGAAGAAATGAGTAACACTAACCGGGATACGGCTTTAACGTGTTGTCCTGTCGCCCGCCAGGACACAAAAAGCCAACAGAACAAGCCAGGACAGGATAAGATTTCGATTTTTGCCCTGTCCTGACGTCCACCAGGACCAAAGTGGCCAGCAGGACAGGTAAGGACAGGACGAAAAATCTTGTTCTGTGCACGTCGCTGGCACAGATGAATGCACACAAGTCAAATTTATATCGTGGTGTTTATGTAAAGGATGTGATGCTTTTATTTTTTGTATAAAACAACGACAATACATTGCAGTTATATATTCCACTTCAGTACGTACGATTTCCAACGAATACTACGAGAAACAGTAAGTATTTTCAGGCTGCATTATTTCCAGAAGATCCTCTTCATTATCTATATTCAGTAGAGTTTTACATTACTTTTAGTATCACTAAGCTTGGATAGTATGACTTTCTTGTTAAAGTAATCATTTTATTCCTACCAAAAATTTTTCTAAGTTCTGTATGACATGAATACGATATATCGATTAATATACAGTCATTTTTCTCATGAAGCATTTATAACAAAACTATTAATGCATACTGCGATTTTTAACGGAGAGTAAAGTCGTTCGTAATCAAATTCTTTTATCATTCGAAATAGTGCGAACTCGTTGAAATTTTATTGTGAGAGTGTCTGTTGTTGGATAAACGACACTGATCCACACCCACACATTCAAACTGCTTTATTTTAATTTAATATTTATTAACCATTCTTGAAGTCATTCATTTATGTAAGATTGCTAGCTAAGGTCTTCCATATTAAAAACAAAATTCTACCATATGATATCCCTTAGCTGACTGTGATAACAAAGCTCTAAATATTCGATTCTTTGATTTCTTTGACAATTATTCGATGAAAAATAGTATTTTGGTAAAACCTGTCATAAGATTTTGCTGATCGTTTTACATTTCACGTTATACGACAAGAGAATTTGAAAGTTCATTCGTCTTGTGTAATAAAAGCAAAGAAGAAAAAAGACACTTTCAATGTCTACAATACGAAATAATAAAGTATCATTAGGAATAAATGTTTATAGAATTTGTTTTTTTTAGAAGTTATTTCTCAGGATTGTTCAGAAACATGTTGTGGCCTCATTTTTCATTTTTTGCCCCCTCCTCTTACAAGAAATATTTTTCAATACAAGTTTTTGACCAAATACGTTCTCTAACTTCTTTTTGCATTTTTATACAACATACTTCGAGAAGTAAAAATTGAAGAATCAACATAAGAAAATCTTAAATAGTAATTCGAAAATAAAGAAAACTTTTGAAGCCTTTTATTGTTAGTGTAAACAAACTTGCAGAATCTAAGGAACTTCGTCTAGTGGCATCTTGATTTGCATACTCTTATATAATTGATTCATAACTTCATAGAGAAACTTAAATAAAAGCTGAGTTTGATAATTGAAACACCATGGTATAAAATAAATTCGTCTCAATCAATACTCCGGTCATGATAGGCAGGGATAGTCGTAATGAATGATACTATTGCCGAACAGTCACTATACCTTACAATAACAGTTCGTACGCGAAAATCAGACAGTAGCAACGTAAATCGCTTGATTGGTCATAATTGCACACAATGGCAAAAGTGAATAATGCAGTCCCGTGCTAATGAGGTATATGATACTTATTGCCGCATGAGAGAGAATTAGAAAAATATATGATTGGTGACATAAATGCTTTTTTCAAGCGGAAAAATGACGTACAGGCAGAAAAGACCTAAGAAATTATGCTAAATAAACAGCTCCAACCAATGAAGACTATTAAAGATTTCCTCTTAATTATCAACAACCTCACACCAACAGAAAAATCGAACTGTACATGAATAACGTAAAAGGCAACGTGGAAAATACTTTCGACAAAATGAAACAGTTAATTTCAAACAGAGGAGAGATTTTATTTATGTGATCTAAGATGATTACGCATATAAATCGCAAGCAGAAAAATGAATCCTCACAATATAATAAGTCTGCAGCGAAAAAAACCAAAAGCAATTAGAAAATATTCATTGAGATGAAATGAAGTGACGAAAATTGATCACCATTGAAGGGAAAGTTGTTGTAGTTTGTATGATCATACATGAAGAATTTCAAAGAGTTTCTAAAGAAAAAATGTGAAGAATGAAAAAGACTGATATTTGGTGTTTGTAAATTTTTGTATAGCATGAAACATGTTGTGTTGTCACGATATCTTTTCTGTTTGGTGATGTTACAAGAGTTCGATCTAGATTCACTTTACACACGTTGACTTATAAAGTATATTGTTTGCTTTCCTTTACTAACACAAAGGAAAAATAATTCATTTTTGACCTGCGCGACACTTTTTCTCTTGAAATGACCATTTATCCCACCGATCAAATTTATATCCACTGCTGCTGATCTTACTATCTGATTGTTCGACCTGGATTTCTTAAAATAAGTATGACATGATAGCTGTTACGAGCGAATGAGAGATGACTATATAACATTCACAACTTGTGCAGTTTTTACTAGATTATTCAAGAAAAATTGTTTTCCTTTTGCATTCAAAGAAATATTTATGATTAGTAGTTTATGTATTTGTTAGAACAACAACGCATCCGATCGATTTGTTCCTTGAATATTTCAAAAGAAAACAAGTTACAAAGTTAATTGTTGAGTAGTGTCCTGCAACCCGGCCCGGTCCGGGTACGAAATTGCCGGGTCGGGTCGGGTGTCGGGTAGAAAAAAAAATATCCGGTCGGGTACAAAATTTTAGCGTACCCGGCACCCGACCGGCAATCAGTGATATCGAAACATTTTAAAATATTTCACTTTCCAGATTGTTATTGGTTAAAAAGGGAAACTTGCCAAAACAATTTAACTATAAATCATTAGTGAATTACGTATAAAGCACAATAATAAGTTACGTAAGCGACGAACATATTGTTTTCTTTTTCTTCTAATCGGGACTAAACACTAAAATAATTCATTTGTAATTGACGTGGCATATTACTTTGCTCATTAAATTATATGATCAAGTTCGTAAGAATTGAAGAATAAAACATATTTTAAATATTTATTTGTTTTTCTATTTTAGATTAAAATTGCTTATTATTTGAAGGCCGGTCGGGTACCGGGTACGGCTGGTCGGGTCCGGTTCGGTTTCGGGTGCAAGATGGCCGGGTCCGGTCGGGTGCCGGTGTCAAAAAAGTGAGCCGGGTCGGGTCCGGGTACAAAAAGTAGTACCCGTGCAGGACACCATTGTTGAGAAAGTACTACATAATCTATTGTTTATTGTGATGTTCAAATACTCATTTTTCAACTATTTGATTTGCTAATTCTAGCGAGTGAGCAAGTAATTAATTATCAAACAATTTAGAGTGATAGAAAAACAAGAACAATAACTACCTATTTCTAATGGTTTCACAATGAGCAAAACTACCATGTTCTGTTCGCTATTCTAATTAGTAATCATACGGTAAATTAATATAAACATTAGCATTATTTTATCGTAGATATTATTTCTAAAGTTAAGACAACAATCAAATAGTATCAACATATTTTTCATGAAACCATGAATTTCAACCTTGAATGTAGTTAGTTGTTTGAGACGACCATCCAGTAAAGAGAGACAATCTGTAAAGCAAAACACATTAATACAGTAAACGTTGAAGCGAAATGTGTAGCTGATGGTACATAATATAGGAACAAAGACGAATATTCGTTCACAGATGACGCAACAATTGCCAAATTCTTTAGATTTTGGAAGAGATCCATGATGGGTGCATAAATATTTCTATTGTAAATCTCGAATGATGTTCCAAAACGATACCCATCATTATTACGAAGAATAAGATCTCTTATCTGAGATTGAAAAATAGGTCGAAACGCTAAGTTATCTAAAAAAAGACAGTTAAGCAATGCATTTACATTTTCATTACTGTAATGCATGTTAAGTGCTTACCTGTAAAAATACGAAAAACTATCTGTTGTTCGAAATTGAAAAGTTCCAAATAAGTTAGATTTGGATAATCCCCAGCAAGAAGAATACGTTCCATATATGTTGTATCGAGAATGAGTTTTCTTATATAATTATGCTTTTGAAGTAATATAGAAGTACAAAATCGATTAAGTTTGTCATCAGTAATTGGTGTTCTTACAAAATTGAGAATGCTAGTAAATACATCATCTTCTATTAAAGCGCCAATCTGTTCATTCTTAATTCCAAAAAGAGAATAAAGGACATCAATGTTGCCAAGTTGCTTCAAGATGATGAACAATATTTCATTTGGTAGATCAAGAAGATGAACGTTAGACGACTGCTCCATGTTGGCGTCTGCCTATCACTCTCTTAAAAAATACATTTTTGTTTTCTGATGACTGTTTTCGTCAGCGAAGAATAGAATGAATGTATGGCAAAAATACAGATAAAAAAATCGTACGATTGATGAGTCATTATATATGCTCATCAAGAGATGCTGTTCTCTTATTAACATATGTTTTTATTTTCTCGTCGTTGATTCACACGAAACTAGACAATGTCACACTAAATAATCGAAAATAAACGTTTCTATTAGAAGAAATGTTGACCGAATAGTAATAATGCGATGTTTTCTAAAGAATCAATAGTCATTTTTTTATAGTTTTAAAAGCATATAAATGACAAAAATGACACGTTAGAAAAAAACTGCATGCTGCATTTTACTAGAAAGACGTTTCTCATAGAATGAAAAATAATACTAATTTCGTAGAATGAAGATCTCTAAGTTGTTCTCTATACTTAGAATTGTATCAAAATAGAATATGATGATAATCTCTTTATAATTTATCTATTGAAAAATAGACGACAGATTTATTTTTGTTAAGTATAAATGTATATTTATGTAGACATAATTAACGTAAGGGAATCTTGATTCATATTGCGAAATCAGTTGAAACTAATTAAACTTCGTCAGAAGAAAATAATTAAAATTACAGTTATGAAATAGCTCAGTTTTAAATATATAATTAAGTAGCAACGGAGTTACCGAATACTATTCGATGTAACGAATGAGTGTTTTTGTTGTGGGAAGAAGAATTTTCAGCTGATTTTAAAATTGTATGAATTAGAAGAGAGATCATATTATTGTGCTTATAACAACTGAAAAACAAAGAAGAGCTGAAATGTATATCAACAACATCTGTCCATGGTCTTTTACATAACTGACATTGTCTTAATTTAATAACATCAAAATTGAGTATGAGATATTGTAGGAAGTCATTAATTATTCATCCTTTCCAGTATAAATGGATATTCTATCGTGAGAAATTTGAATGTGTTATAAATAGAGACGTATCAAAAGTATTTCTTTACGATTTCTTTATGCAGAATTGTTTATAAATCAGAAATGAAACCATATATAACTCAATGAATCTTTCATGTCAGTTTGAAGTATCATAATTACAAGTTCCTCGAGACGTTTTCGTTTCGTGATAGAAAAAACGAGAAAATTAAAATATATTGTTGATTGACAAAAAACAGCAAATATTCAATCTTACATAGTATTAAAAATGATTTAATTTCAGAGAAGTCATGGGCGAACTTTCCCAAAACGAAAAATGTTTCAATATATAAGATCTGTTTCATTTTATCACGCGATTGTGGTCATGTCTGGGTCCATCGTACATATATTCCAATCTCACTTCTGCCATTCTAGGATACATCGTCATTCCAATATTTGGCGAGGTTTTGATGAGACGAATATTATGGCTGAATCATATTCATGATGGCGTCAGATCAAACTTATTGCGAATCAGCGATGGGGTGTAGGTGTTAGTCTTCTCTAAGAACAACTAACACCCACACTCACACCAAAACAACTATATTTTTTTCATCACTGTTATTCTTACTATCTATTCTGCCTTTTATGATTAAAAGAAACGGTTAGAAAAAAAAGGAAGTCTGTGTTATAATTGGCATAGATAAGCATAGAGTTGTGCCAACGTTGGTAGATTTCATGAGGTCTTATAAATAGTTAATCGTATAGCTCGTACTAATACACCTTCGCCAAATAGAACGATTCATTTATTTCCTGTTGATTGTCTTTGAGCTGGCGGAATTTGAATCCAACAATTCAAACAATTTCCCCACATCATCAATCCATCGATAGACCATTGTCGAATGGTAGCACCCGGTGAACTTCTTAAATCTTCTCGAATAACGACACGATCCACCAGCTGAGTTGATATATCAACGTTAAAGTACAATTAGTGTTTGAACAAGAAAATTCACTAGGTAACAAATTACCACAACAATTCCGAATAAAATCACCTAATTCTTTATATCGACTAACAACTAAGCCAACCGCTAGTTTACAATTGCTACCAACAGTTGTATCAAATAAACATCGATGGGTTCATTTAATGGTCGAATAGGATAATTTTCTCCACCATAAAACCATCGATCAGTCGCTTGTCAAGTTGTTGAACATTCTGGTGGTGAAAAATAATAACCATCAGGATCTTCTAATTCATTACTAATATTTCGAATACTATTATTTGTTATACGAAATTCAATGAATATCAATGCATTTATTTGATATTTTTCTATTGACAATGATATACCACTTTTGAATGTTTGTGAATAACCATCATCAAACCATATTTCTTCTAATTATTTTAGCATAAAAGATTCATAGGTTGTTTGACTGATTGGTATTTAACCTCGAATTAGTGGTCCTAGTCGAACATGAGTAAAGTGAAAAGGCGACTCATTTCCTAACTATTAAAAGTAGTCGTATGCCAATGAATTCCTAGAAAAATGAAAATCTAAAATAATAGTAGATAGAAAAAAAACGATAGATTTATGTAAGAAAAATATGAACAATGCATAATGAAGTTTATGGATAACTAACAATAACTGGAAAAGAAGTCTTGCCAGGTACCACTTTCCATACTTTCATTGTTAGATTGTTAACTCCAAAATCAATGACAAACATTGAGAAGAAGAAATCATCACCATCACGAAAAATTCTATGATATTGTAAACCGCAACCATATTTTTTAGCAGGTTTGAAAGCAGGATTGTAGTGTATTTGTTCCCACTCACCTGATCGAGCACTCAACGTAGGTGATCTCAATAAACCCAAAACCCAATTCTGTTCGCCTAATGTCACATCACAATTCAATGTACCATCAGGAGCTTCAATCAAATGATAATAGTAGTCACCTGACTTGACCATACTTCCTTCACCACCTCCAACACATAAAGTTTTTGGATTCCATGAAATATTCCATCCATTACAATCCAAAGAAGAAAATAGTGCATCATTTGGAAGATCATAACCAGTAACATCGTAATTAACAAAATCACGAGTACGAGCAATACCACGAGCTGCTTTATTATTGGGTCCATCCCAACCATGAAATGTAATATAAAACCAACCATTTACTTTTTGAATGATCTCCGGTGTACCTTCATCATACATACTCGGTGTACAATGCTTTCCGGTGCCAGAACAAATTCTACTCCAGAGTTGTCCACCTTGAACAACTGGATTGTGTGGATTTGGTGTAAAAGGACCTGACATAGGATCACCTCCAGGTCTCGAATAATGGCAAAGAGACCAACGCCTGTTATTACCAATGCATTGAGCTAGATAATGCCATGAACTTGTTTCATTATCGAAAAAAGGAGCTCCATCAAGTGCTGCACAATTATCGAATGTTGAATTTCCAGGAAGTGCAACAACAGCAGGTTCTGACCATGATTTACCAAAATCTGTCGAATTTCGAACAGCAATACGTGTTAATGGAACGATACCATTGCAAAAGTCTGGCGTAGGTGCATAGAAACCTTCTCTATAGAAAACATACCATCTACCATTGATTGGTTTAATATATGTACCAACATTCCACATTGCTGTAGAACTTGGATCAGCATGAGGAGTAGGAAAAACTGATGAACTTACAAGTTCTAATCCTGCTTGTCCTGCGAAGATATCAACTAATGGTCCACCATCTAATTCATTCACAGTTGTTTTATAATGAACGATCGTACTACAACAATGATAAAATACACGAAATTCTAATCTATGTCCAATGGCACTTGAAAAGTATAGAGAAAATATTTGTGGCTGTATATTATTGTAACCAAAATCAAGTCTTGAAATATTTCTACTTGTTAATGTATAATTCGTATCAGCGTCATTGACTTCTACAGTTAATAAAATCAATGGATCAGCTGTGTCATTATCGACTCCAAGATAAAAATCAACACGTGACGGCACTGTAGTATTCCACTCTGTTGTATAGGGTCCATATGTAAGATATCTTTCCGATGCATCTTGGGTGGTAGTTATCCAACCGGTATTATTAAATCGAGAGCCTGTTTGATGGTAAGGTTGCGTACCGGGAAAATATTCTAGTTGAAGAGCGGTAACGCAGTAACATAGTGATAAAATGAGCCATGTTACTACATACAAAATCATTGCAAGGGATAAGTTATAAATATTTGTTGATGGTCGTCTCTTTATTAAATCGTTAAAAACAGATTCTTATCACTTTTGCATATTCTAGTCGTTTAAAAGTTGCTGAGATAAGAAATGTGTTTATTATTTTCTTAAGAATGGATCAGTCCTCTTCCAGAGCACGTTTTCGTTTGTTAGATACAGCCTGATTTTGTTTTTGTTTTTGTTTGAAATCCTTGAATGTCGTTGATATCCTACAAAAATTCATTCGATGACAAATAAAAATAGTTTCATTTTAATTTTACTTTGCTTGATCCTCTGGTTTTAATGTAGAAAAATTATGTATTTCCTCAATACCATTGAGTTTTTTTGTTTCAGGGTGTTTCCAGAAACAATCATAATGATTCCAAGCCGTGCTTTTGTAACCTTCATCATCTTGTAACATAAGAGCGAGTCGTAATTCGTTCTGTTTAATTATTTTCTTACAAACGCGACATTTTGATTTTGAAGACTTTGCATAATCTGTCGTACAGTTATGACCAACACGACGACTTGCAGACTCTCCTAGTTCACTACTTTTAAATCTCTTCAACATTGTAAAATCTTCGTCACCAATCGCTCTTCTGAAAATATATAGAGCGAAAATGAAAGATGATTTCAGATGATAGTGCAATTACAAGCGCTAACAGCAACGCATTAACAATTTATATAGAGAGCGCTATTTTCATGATAGTATTTGTTGAGATACAGCATAGGAAAACGTCTCATGAAAACAACACTCACATCTGAAAATACAAGAACAGAACACATCTTACCACTATGCATCTTTTATATGATTTTCGGTTCTTTGACTGCACTAGGTAATAGAATAACAATAGAAGAGCACACAAAAATTATCATGAACGCGAATAAAAATTTTAGCTTCCGATAAACCGATAAATCTTGGTATCATACCAGCGAGTATTTGCAAATACAACAACCATGTGATAACATCCAAATAATTTATATCACTATGAATGGTAAAAAATGTTCCATGTGTCCATATGGTGGTACACCTACAGTTGAACAACTGTAAAATTCCAATTGTCAATACGGGTGATCTCACATATTCGTGAAACCAAAAACTAATATATTCTATCTAAAATAAATCTCTACCTGAAAATCGAGACTTCGTTTGATAAACATTTTCTTAAAAATAATACTGTTAATACAATGTGAAACGTCCATATATCCATTTAAAGGAGAATCTTCTAAAAAAAAGCGCTATCATTTTTAGTGAAATACAACGAAAGGTGCATCGATTAGTGTAGCTCTACTAGATGTGTCGAAACGTTTAAAATTGTAAAATTTAGAATAAATCGTTCTTTTTAATTGTTAACTCTTGTTCCAAGACATTAAACACTTGTAGAAACTTCCCATGTTGCGAATACCGGATCATTTTTTGCGGTAAACCGCGGTATTTATCCGTTCTGCGGTAATGGGAGCCGGTAACCGGATCGGTAAAACCGCGGTTAACCGCCGATTTTCATGCGGTTTTTATTACATGGGTTGCGTAATCAACCCTAAGTCATGCTCTCAGATAACAAACAAAACCACAAGCACACTGAAACGTGGTTAAATCTTCAAGTATCCAGGAAAAAATAGCCATTTTCAAACTAGATCAGATCTTCTGTCGATTTTTAACAATACGAACATGTGAGCAGGCTGAATCGTTTGCCAGATATAGGTATCATAGAGAGTATAAATTTCATGTAAAACAATCAAACCAATTAAGAAATATTTAAGTCACAAATTTAAAAAAATAACGGGACAAAGTGAATATATATGAAGCTTTTTGAAACTTTATTTCCTCATCCCCATTTAAGATTTTGATGAAATCTGGCACTGTTTTTCGACAAGTTGTGTCTACCAGTGATCTTATTTTAAAAACTGATTAGAGTTCTGAAACAAAAGCTATTCGTCAATTAATAGCTTCAGTACGATTGTACAAATGGAAAGCATGTTCATTATTAATTTTCATCCTTCTATATGCCCCATGTTATTTATAGGAAAAAAAAGAAAAGAAAAAACAAGAAACCAATCAAGCAAATTTACAACAGCTCCCCGATGAATTTCTATCATTATCATCATTTTGCCTAGATGAGGATGATGGTGATTCTGGTTGAATGGATACTTGAATAGACGATGTGCGTCGTATCGACTCTTTAATATTAGATGCTTGTTCATAGGCCGTACTAGTTTCTTTAATTTGTTGTAGTAATGACGAATTGTGTAGAATACGTAAAATTAATTGCTTAAACATCGATTGAATATTATCACCTCGTAAAGCTGATATATAATGAATCGGCATATTATGTGTTGACGCAAAATGTTCGGCACGTTGAAAAAATATTCGACGATAATGTACATCACAATTCGTTTCAAATATATCAATTTTATTACAAACAAGTACAGCTTCGACATCATCCTTTCCTTTCGTTTGCAATTGTTTGTACCAATAGAGTTCAGTACGTTCAAGTGAATCTATATCTGTTGAATCGGAAAGTAGAAGTGCACCATGACAATTTCGAAAATGATTATCACAACATGATTCATAACGTTCCATTCCAGGTATATCAGCAAGTTGAATAATAATAACGTATTTATTTTCATATAATTGATCCAAATAAAAAAAGACAAGGTCAGGTCCCACCGTTGCTGAAATATGTAAATGTACAAAGGATGATTGTGAACCATATTGAAGACAACGAGCAAGTGTTGTCTTACCAACATTAGAACCACCAAGAAGACTGAGACGAATTTTTAGTGTTGGTTTATCTTGCCATTCAGGCGGCGTACGACCAGAACGAAAATTAAATGAAAGAAATTGATTTGTTAATGAAATTGTTTCTTGTTGTGTACAAAATTCTTCAATAGCATTTTTTAAATTAAAATTATGTACAAAACGACGATCACGCAAAGGTTTATTTGTCATGGGAGATGAATTATGATCGCGTAACCATCGTTGTAAAGCATGTAATTCATAGGAATGACCCTATAAATTGCTGTTTAGTATTTTGTTTTTTAGAAATACAATATATAAACTTACGTCTTCAATAAGTAGAACAGGATTTTGCATTAGTTCTCGGGTTATTGGGCAAAGAAAATCACGGGGTGGCGCTGAAATTTGTTGGTTGGCCATTGTTCTTACTTTATCTTTTTCGATTTTTGTGTCTACAACGAAAGAGTATAGAACATATGAGGTATTCGATCGTGCCCTTTTTATCAATCGTATTTTTTTCTTTTCTCTTCTTTCAAAGAGCAATAAGAACAGAACGTTCTCATTCGGTTTTTTTTGTTATGTCTCAATAGCAGGAATAATATAACCGAAGGCTCATTACAAAGTAAGTGAGGACAAGAAATGACGCAACTTTTCATTTTTATACATTTCATATTCTCGTTCTTTCGATTTTCTTTTGAATTTTAACAGTGTATACTCGAGAATGTAAAAGAACGAGGGAAAACGAGAGAATAGGTCGAGGATATGACAGAATGCATTGTTTTAAATAAATAATAACTTACGATGATTTATTCGAAGAACAAGTATTCATCTGACAAAATTTAGGACATAAATAACGAACATAATCATTTTTACATTCGTTTTCAAGTACAAAATCACAAATATATGCTGGTTCTTTATTGCAATTCACTAGCAAAACATAAAAATACATACAATGTTTTGTTTCGTTGAAAATTAAAAATTTGCATTTACCTATTTCACAGACGTCTCCACTATAGGCTGGTAAACAAATGCAAATACAATTTGAATTTAGACGGCCTCCATTTTGGCATTTTTTTTGATTACAATGCTCATTAATCATTTTCTTTTTCTTCTCCTTCTTTTTAATGGTTGTTGTATTCGTTGATATAGTTTTATTTGATATAATTTTTCGGTTGTTTATTCCATTTTGACTTGCCAATTGTAACATCCAAGTAAATGGTGGCATAGCTAATGTTGGCATTGGATCGAATATTGGATCTTTTGGTTTATAATCATCAAAATAATATGGAATAAATGATGATGATGTACTGCCATTATTATTATTATTGATGGAATCAATAGGTGGTGTTGTTGATAATGTTGAAAAAAAATGATCATTCATATCGAAGTCTAAATCTGCATTTGAATCTATTAATTGTTCGGAATAGTTCATTGATGCTATTGTAGATGTATCAAAGATTGACCAATCATCTTGATCGATTTTGGTGAATGGACTAGGTTTTAGAATTGGCATTGTTGTTGTTGTTGTTGTTGTTGTTGTTTTTGTTGGAGGAAAATTATTTGCTTCCATCAATGGTGATAATGCAGCATCACTTACATCCCACCAATTCAGTTGAGAATCTTGTTGAGCAACAGCTAAACCGCCCACTATTGTACTACTACCAACGAATTGTTGATTAAAATCAAAATGTTCCATAGTTGAAACTGGAATCGTTGATGAATCAAAGAGAAGATTTGTAGTTTCTATCGAGTTTGTAAGAAAAGGAGAAGTATTAATAACAGTAACTGGACTTGTTGTAGTTGAAAACATTGAAAAATCTTCTTCCACATCATCTTCATCAGTATCTTCCCATACGATATTACTCTCATCCATTTCAGTTGTTGTACTAAGTGGTAGCGTAACAGTATTAGTGGTTGCACTTGTGACGATTGTTACTGCTGGTACACTTTCGATTGGATGCATTGAAGGGAATTTAATCACAGCTGGTAATTGATTATGAAAAATACCTAAGTATAATCGAATATTTGATATTCATATATTCTCAAATCAAAATACGAACCCATAATAAATTCAAAACTAATGCCATTACATCTTAAACGAGAAAAAAATCAAAGAATCAAAAAGAAATTAGTGATGAAATAGCATCATACAAAGATTCTTGACAGAAAAATGCATCTGTACCAAGTAATTTATGAAGACCACTCTTAGCGCGTACTTGTGGCCATTTTGTTGCACAATCTCGTGTGATAACTAGAGTTTAAAGATTTATAAAACTAAAAAAAAACAAAAATTCATGGATAGATATACACATACAATTATGATCATTTGGATTTCGAAAGACTAAACAACTTGTTGAACATGGTTGAATAAATTTAGCTGCAAATCGTGGATCTAGAAATTCACCACAACCGTTTACACGAGCTGTGCATGAATAACATTGACGTAATTGTCGAGATACTGGATCGATAGGTATGATTGGTTGATCTAAATTTAATGTAATCCATGGTTTTATGTTGAAGGTAAAGTTCTAATCACTCTTCATTTACTAAAGTATAAAACTCACCTGTCGTTAACATTGCAGGAGTAGGTGTTGGTTTCGGAGTTTGATACTCGGTAGCAATGATTATCTCTCTTGTTGTCGTAGATAAATCGGGTCGCTCATAGGAACCATTATTACATAATGAACTAGAACAAAAATAAGCTTCTATACCGGATGATAATTCATGCCATCCAGTTGATTTAGCGTTCATATGACCGTATGTCCATGAACATCCACGTATAATTGAATTATTTAGAGAACGAAATAGAACACATTGACCATTACATGGTTCAGTATAATATTGAAGTAGATCTGAATAGACAGGTGAATTGGGTTCGGCACTACCAGCACATTGAGCAAGTGTATGTTCTGAACATAGATAACATCGACCAGCTCCGGCGTCAACAATAATGCTAGGTTTTATTAGAAGGAAAATGACAAAGGCAAATTTAACTAAGTGTAGTTCAGTTGCAATCATTCTTCGCGAATGATTTATGCCTGCATCTAGAGAACAAAGGAGACATTCGCTATACATATCTAATCGATAGCCGATGAATCTCATATATCAGCATAAACTCACGTTTTCAATTTTATTTATTCAACCTTCATCTGCTATGTATGAAAAATATCCGGCCTTGCCCCATTGTTGTTCATATAAAAAATGATCAAATATGTTTTTTTTATGAATATATTGTTACTTTAGAACGTAAGCTTACGATCATTTACTAATTGTGGTTCAAAACGTGTTTAGATATAGAGGTCTTAATCTTTCATACAAAAAAAGAACAATAGTGAACGATAAGCTTTTTCTATACTTAATCTTGTCTTGTTTATGTAACTAGACGATCGAGACACATCATTTTTCAATCTATTAACAAACAACCGATTATAGACAGATATGAGTCGCTAGAGGTCGTACTATGACAGTTGATAAACAGTATCAAATTCTGTTTTATTAAAAAAGCATGAAAAGAATAATATTCATCAACATTTTATCTTGATAAGAAATATAGAAATTTTTTATCAAAATAAATATTTTAACTAGTAGGACATTTCCATCGTAGTGAAACCTTTATATTGGAGAATTTCATGACTCAAATCATCAACAAAAGACATAATTATTTCATTGCATTTTCCAACCTTCAACGTTACATAAAAAAATGGCGTCGATATCGAGCGAAACAATTTGGTCTTCTATGATCAATGCGCGTCAACTTTCTATAACTTACTATACACTTTCAACGTGCTTAACAGATCTCTTACATCGTTATGTTGAAATTTCACAAACCAACAAAATCTCATCATCATTATTTCATAACCTTGACCAAACATTATTTTCTTCTGTAACACCATCCAATCAATCCAAACTTTCGGATGAATACTCCAATATACTAGTGAATATATTAAAGTGAGTAAAGAAAAATTCGTCATTTTATTTTACTCACTTATAGTAAAGCAACTGTAAAAGCAAACTTTTTCGGAATGAATATCGGGTGATTCAAAAAAAAACTAGATCTTATTCCTATACATAATAAATAATTTATTTTTATCATTATAGGTAAGGAAGAGTATCATTCAAAAGGTGGTGATGTATGTGGCTTGACGTCGGATAGTGGCCATAAGCTTGAATATATCAGGCTTCGAGCTCTGTCTGATGACGCCCGTATGTCATTATCTTGCGTGTACGGAATCCGGCTTTCAGGTATAGGGCTGTCGATTCTGTACCGCTGGTTACTTGGTAGTATTGATTTCCTATTTTGTTTTTAAGGCAAACATTTTTAATACATTTTCTTGATTGTTGCAGAAAAAATACTATACATACGAACATCATACAAAATGTTCGCCGTCTTTTTCGTTTCGATTCCTGTCTTAAAGAATTATTTACTACTGAACTTAACGAATATTGTCTATGTCACGAATGTGATTGTACCATATCGAATAGTATAACTGATGTGATACATGATGTTGGTGAAATTCGAACAACATTATTAACTGAATCTGGTCAAACTTCATGTACATGTTTTCGATGTGGAGATCAAAATCAAACAAAAATTATCACATTTAAACAGTAAGTTGAATTCATCACATAATTCTCGTATAATAAAGATCTCATTCTAGATTCAGTCCTTGTCTAGCATTGACAGTCAATCGGTTGAATATTAATGCAACTGAACAATTACTAACTGCACAAGGTATCACATATGAATTGAGTTATATTATTGAATTCGATTCAGCATCACGATCAATTACTAATGTATATTTACGCCAAGGTAAATTGCTCTTTTTTAAGTTTAATTTTATTTGCTTCTCTATTTTTTAGATTCGGAATTTATTAAAGTCGACGGACAAGATATCTCAAGTCGATCGGTAACTATTAATGGTGACGGAAAATTTCTTACACTTTGGTTGAGTCGTCCAACATCAACATCAGCTACAGTGACTTCAACATCTGAATTAATCACCAGTGTTCCACATAATGATACATTCCTATCACCACCACAATCTGCAGCATCATCGTCACAAATCATCGTCAACAATGAAGTGACAATTTCAAATGAAATTCAGGATACAACTGATTTAATTGATGTTCCAATGGAATCAAATACGACAGTTATCAGTCCTGATGAAGACGATGAGCAGTTTTGGAATTCACTGATTGACCAAACCACACCAGCCAATAGTGAAAACATGTCAACAACGCATAACGATTCTATTAGTGATGTCTATTTAACATTACTTCATTCAACACATAAAGATCCAACTTCAATTAAATCTCGAGCTGAACATGATCGTACTGTGAGTTCGCTTGCGACAGATATTTTTTGGCCATTAATTGTTGATCAAACAAGTCGACGTAATGAAAAAAACACTTCATCATCGTCCACAACGCAATCGATATCATCAAATTCATCGAGAACGAGTTCAACAATTCAAAGAAATTCGTCGTTGAAACAAACATCATCTGCGAGAACTCGAAGGATACATCCGTATTCGAAATCATAAACATTCTCTTTTTCTTTTCTGTTTGTATGTATAAGCGAAACAGTTGAAATCATGTGTGTGTGTGTGTGTCTCTGATTAGTGCTACATGTATATGTATGTTTACAAAAAAAAACATGATTTATTTATGTTTAAAAACAACGACAAATTGTTGTATATTTGAATGAGGACAATGGAAAAAAAACTAGCCAATGGGGAAGGTTTGTGTTTTCAGATCATGGTTGATATCGACGAATTATGTCAGTTTGCACGATTAGGTCAAACATTAAAAATTCAAAAATATTTACAAACACATAGTGAGTAGCAAAAGAAAAAGACAAGCACGAAAAACGTTTGACCATGCTTTCATTCTGTTAGTCATTGATATCAATGCATTGAATCTCTATGGTGAAACAGCACTATCGACGGCTACTTATCATAATCAAATCAGTTCTGTTGAATATCTTCTAGCAGCTAAAGCCGATCCGAAATTGTAAGTTTTTACCATAACGATACTTTTTGTTCGATGACATGTAAAAGAACATTTTTTTTCCAAGACGTCTTTCTGCTGGACATACCGCTGTGCATATTGCTTGTCGATTAGCCAATGTACCGATTTTACATCGTTTATTATCAATTAAAAAAGATGCATACGAAGAAGAAAAAGAACAACAACATAGAGAAGATAAACATGTTTATGATTGTTTACGAATGACAGATAATTCGAATTTAACACCAATACATTGGGCAGCTAGACAAGAATCTGTTTCGAAACGACAAAAGATTTTTGCTTATCTAGATCAACGAATGCCTGGTGTACTCGATAGTCGATATAATAATGATTGGTTTAATGCATGGGCTCAAAGACCTCAATGGATACTTGAAGAGAAAACAACCAAAAATCTACTACCAACGTAACTGGAATACATTACAGGAGTTTCTATTCAAACATCTTATTTTAGTTCTCCAACTTTGATACTGACAAATACGGATAGAACGTATCGACAACAATGGGGACATAGTTCTTTAGTTATGACTCCAAATAGTTCGTTACATGATTATGAACCTACACCAACAACAGTAGGCAGCAATTATTACAATAGTGATATTGAAGAGCGAAGAAATCAAATTTCATCGCCAGTGAGTTTTTTTCCTTTCACTATTATTTATCTATTTTTCTAATCTAAAATAGATTGAACATGCTGCTCAAGCACCAAAATTACCATCTACTCCCGTTACTAGTCGTAAAGTCGCGTTCACTAATGAATTTCATAAACAAACACCAGTAAGAAACATTGATATAACTATGATTAGGATATATCTTTCCTTTTTTAAATAATCAAAACAGAAAAAATCACCTGTCAACAATAGCGCGACTACTGACACACAAAAAACACCGTATTTTCAACGACTTAGTTCCATACTTAAACATTCTCTATCTCCTCGATCGGATCGTTCAACGACATATCGTGCTGAAAGAGCTCACGTTATACCAACATTTAATTATCCTTCGTCACCAACGACTACGGAAAATAAACGACCTTCTCATAATTTACTCTCAAATATTCTTCCATCGACAACATCATCATCGTCACTATCAGATCAAAGTAGTCAACAATCAACGAAACCATTCGTTTGTGATACATCAATGGGCTTTCGACGTAATCATGATACAACAGTATTTACAACGCTTGATGCCTATACAAAAAATTATGTATATGAAGATGAAGATAATGATTATTTATGTAAATCAACTTCAACTCTAGGTAGATCTTCGCCCGGTGCTTATTCTTATGATATTTCGTAGCGTTTGCTTTTTATTTTCTTATTAAATATTTTACGTTTTGTAACATACATCGATGCCAGATATGAACATGACGATAATAAACCAGTTTTCTTTTTCTTTTTTTTGCAATAAAAGAATTGATAAAATACGGAAAACATTTTATTTTATTTGTACAAAAACAAAATGAAGAAATCAATTCAATATCGAACATTAATAATGTTGTCTATCTCGTGTTCGAATTTCAGCTATAGTTGTCGCCAGTGCTGTTGGTTCAATAGCAAAATAAAATGGTTGACTAGTTATTGCTGCTTGAAAACCAACTTTACATGCTTTCCATGTATGTTTTGCTAGTTTCCATGCAATACGAGTTATCTAATATAATATCAAAAAATCATAGCGAGAAAATAATTTCTTACAAGTATACCTTTGAATGATTACGTGTATCATTACTATTATGATTATTTTCTATTAAATATAATCTGTCATTGTCAACTATTGCAACTCGATGTCGACGACGAAATTTCATTTTTAAACTATAAGTGATATGTCAATACAACTTTTTCATGCGATAAACAACATACAGAACGAAAAAGAAAAAAGTAAGACGAACAGGGTAAACTTTTATGTTTGCTTGTGATTATCAATTTCATATACAGTGGGAAGATTATTTCGTAGAAAATCTGGTACAATAGTTGAATATAAATGTGAACTTTTCGAAAGTTCATTTTCACGAAAATTAAATAATGGTGGTAAATTACGTTTATTCGGTAATAATATTGAATTTTGTTTTAATTCAGTAAAAAAGTCCGATGCAAGCGCTGCTTGACATGTTAACCGTTTGTTGGGTATATATTTTAATAGTTGTTCAAGTAAAACTACTGCTGATTCTTGTGTACGTTCAGGTAAATAGCCACGCAATGTACGCGGTATGAATGTAATCACAGTTAAATCAACTGAACCCGTATAACGTGGATTCATTTCACGTAGTTCATCTCGATTTGGGATACCAACTATTTTTATGATTCGATACATTTGATCACTTGAATCAACACCACGACATATAGGATAACCATTGAGAAATTCAGCTATACAACAACCAGCTGACCATATATCAACAGCTGTGGTATATTCGGTACAACCAAGTAAAAGTTCTGGAGCTCTAACAAATGCAGGAAATAAATTAGCAACGATTTTAATTCGTTTATACTTACCGATAATATCGAGTACATACCTAGAAAGAAATGTTTGGTGAAAAATAGCAATCGGTTTAGTTTCATAGTTTTTTTCTTTACATAGGATACTGATTTTTCATTTCGATTTAATTTTTTTGCACTTCCAAGATCACAAATTTTTAATATTCCTGCATCGAAATCAACAATCATATTCGATGGTTTAAGATCACGATGTGCCTATATTGACCGGCGTTAAGAAAAATATTGTTCTAAAGAAAATATACGTACTTACAACGCCTTGTATGTGTAGATACCCAAGACCTCGTAGCATTTGATAGGAAAATAGTTTCGTATAAAATAATGGAAGAATTTTATGATTATGTCGATAATTTGATATCAATTGGTGAGCACTCATTGGCATATATTCCATAATAAGACATAGAATATCTTTTATAGATGATGAATAAAAATAATATTTTAGTCGAACGATATTCGGATGAATCATTGCTTTTAAAATATCTAATTCTCGAGATTTAAATTTATCTTCAATTTCAATTTCTTTTATTGCAACGATTTCTTGTGTAGTCGTTATTTTTGCTTTGAAAACTTTTCTATTCAACATACAAATATATATATATTATTGAAAACAATTTTCAGCAACTAGCGCGATCCGTTTTCAAATTCCAATAGAAAAAAAAAACTTCTATACCCAAATGTACCCTGACCAATCATTTCTCGTTCGCCAATATGTAATTCAATTGCATTATTCAATGGATTATGGATATTCGTCGATATTGCTGCTGATAATGGTGTATCTACTTTGAATGCAATAACTTTAATTGGATGTGATCCATCACCTTCAATTACATCGATCTCATTTTTACTAGTATTAATATCTGTTTGCGATATATTTGATGTTAACATATATCGTTGTGACATTGAAACTTTTTTATGAATTACTATTAAGGCAGTAAAAAAGAAACTCGCCACCGCATATTATTTATTTGGCAAGCAGAAATATTAAATATAGAAAATCATAGCCAAAAGGAAAAAAACTAAAATACTAACGCGCTTAAATTTGGTTCGATTAATATTAAAAGGAAACTAAAGATTCGCTCTAAATTACTATTAAAGTTATAATGTATTTGATAGCAAAAAGAAATCAAAACTTTCCTGTCGTTGATTTACATCCGATCAAAATAAATAATAGTTACTGTTATGTCATCACGCATAGATCTCGGGTTATGGGATGCTAGTGTATCTAAGAAAAGTTTACTATCAAAATGTCCTTTGGATGTATAAGCGAGTGCATGACGAATTAAATTCGTTGCAGAATTTCGATCCAAAGATTGCAATAGAAATTGATCCAAACTTTGTATGCCTTTTTGATGATTAAATATAAGTTCTACAACTTTTTCTGGTGATAATGCATCCCAAACGCCATCCGTCGCTAGAACAAGAAATTTATCATTTTTCGTCAATTTATGTTTTATGATTTCTGGTCGAACAGTTAAATACGGTGGTGTTAAATAAAATTGTACTAAAGCATCGACATTTTTATAATAAGGTTGTAAATATTCTTTAAGATAATTTTTTGGCCATTTAAAACGTATATTACCAAATGCACGAAATGGCGATAGTACACCTAGTAAACGATCACTGCGAATAACTGAATGATATTCATTTGATGGATGTTCAGATAAGACTCGTTTTATTTCCAATTGATTATGTACATTATGGACATTGGATAGAGAAATCAAAGATGGATTACCGTTGTCATTTATGGTACCTGCAAACGAAACGACGTAGACTATTAATATTTTTGGAGAAATGTTTTCTTTTTGTTTACCAAGAACTGCTCGCGCATCTCCACTATTAGCAATGTAGAGATCTGTTTCGTTGATTAATGCAACACAAGCACATGAGCCAGCCATAGAAATCTGTAATAAACCTTTATTAAACGGTTGTGTTTCAGTTGGTATGGCTTCAGCACATATATCTCGATCTAATTTAATAAATGCATTTTCTAAAGCACCAATAATATCTGTATAATCACCATCAAATGTCGTATAAACTTCTTCGATATGTTTTATTAAATTCATTGCATGAATTTTTTTTACTTTGGAATTTCGCATATCTTTACATGGATTATGATAGGATTGTAACAACAATGATGATATATGACTATAGTTATGATTTGTCATAGTTCTTGCTTGCCGCATGATTTGCTCTAAATCATTCGGTGGTTTTAAAGAAACGGCAATATAGTCAAAGAGGCGTTGACTCAAAACATCAGAACACCATGGGCCACCATGACCATCAAATACACCGAATAGATACGTATAGGGTTCATGCATACGGATACGAGCTTGAGCTTGTCGATCCTCTAAGAAAATGAATGAGTTATCAATCCGAAAAAGCAACGTATTAAGAGCATTGCACAGTTAGTTTGATTGAAATGATCACATCAACATACCCGAAGGATTATTAGCACCGAGATGATTAGCCTCATAATATTTCACTGAACAATTTACTTCCAGATCAATACTGGCTTCATTTTTTTGTAGAATTTTTGTTGCCTCTTCAGGTAAAAGTTTTTGTTCATGATGACGAAATGTTCTGTCAAATAAATTATCTTCAATTGAATCACTGTGATAATAAACTAATGAAATGATTTCTTTTCTATACAATGATAATAAATGAGTTGAATATTTCGAACAAAAACATCTATTATTATTATTGAATAAGACATGTCGAATCATTTCATCTTTAAAAGAAAATCATAGACGAAACAGTTACTTTTTGAACATAACGAAACAACAAAACAAAAAAGATAGAAACGAATAAGTTTTATTTGCAAAAAACTTTCCTATATATATCCATCATCAATTTAACTTTTTCTCGATCTGTTACTTGCATTGCACTATCTTCTTCATCATCACCATGATTATTATTGAGACCATTTATAGAAATCTTCTTTCGAACATTTTTATAAAGCATTTTTGATTGTTTACGTATGCGAGCTGATGAATGAAATTCTTTTGCGCCAGTTTCTCGTAAAATCGATTCAAGATTAGCCACATTAATCCCACAGCCAGGTAATATAATAATACGATTTTGTGCATAACTTATCATTTGTCGTAAACATCTACGTCCATAATAAGCATTTGTTTCTTGTCCACTTGTTAAAACACGTTGAAAGCCAAGTTCAATTAATTGATCGATACCTGTTTCCCATTTCGGAATAAAATCAAAGGCACGATGAAATGTTAATGATATATCTTTTGGAATGGGTTGTACTAAGCGTTTTAAACTTTCAATATCGATTGTTCCATCGGGATTCAGTGTACCTAAGACAAAGCCATTAACATGTTGATTTGATTCAATAAATAAACGAATTTCTTCTTCCATGACGCTTAATTCATTGTCGTCGTAGATAAAATCTCCTGCACGACAGCGAATCATAACAAATATTTGTAATTCAAAGGGTAAACGACGACGAATTAATCTTAATAAACCTATGGATGGTGTTAAACCACCTTGATCAAGTGAACTGCATAGTTCGATACGTTGAGCACCACCTTGAACGGCTGCTTGAGCTGATTCAAAACTGTCAACACAAACTTCCATGTAAAGAAAAGGTAACAGAATTTTGTTTTAAACACAAATAAAAAAAATCAGAGTTAGGAACAGCAGAAAGAAAAAAAGGAAATGTAAAAAAGGGAATAGAATATTTGGTTTTTCAATTTTAATGAAATAGTTTTCGACCACGATGGTTAAATGTCATAAATGATGGACGATTACCAATAGTATCCCAAGTTTTATTTTGCCACTCAGCTGTTATTAGTATTGGTTTAAATTTACCAAATAATTGCACACTACCAATACAACAAGCAAGAAAAGCAATTAATGTTTGAACAATAATATCGGTTGGTAAACGTTCAAATTGTTGTTCAGTTAGGCGAACAAATACACGATGTTGTGCAGCTGAATAGCCAGCGTGTGCAAGTGCAAGTAAACCGATTATTAAAAGCAGTTTTTGGCCCATCAAAGGATAGTCTAATTCACAAATATAATATGTAATGGCGATTCTCGTTGTTTTTCCTCTTCGATTACATTCTGGAGGCGAGAGAACTTGCTTTATTGTTGGTTTAAAATAACAACCAATCAGATTCAGTCCGGTTTAACATGAAGAAAGAAAGTAAAAATCCAGTAGAGTGATCTTTGAGGGAGAATTTTACAATGCAAAGAAGAGTAAATGATGAAGAGAAAGTATAGGTTGTTATCTAATTTAATTAATTTTTCATTTATAGGGGAACACAATGCCAACCTTTGATCAATTGCGATCGGCTGAGGATTATTTTCCTTTATTTCTTGAACAAACTCTTCAAATTTATGCATTACGTATGAAAGAAAATGAAGATCAAGTTGATACTGTTGTAAGTAGAAACTCGAAAACTTAGCTTGTTATTAAAAATTTCCTATTTAGGCTGATCGTTTATCCGATCGTGAAGTTCTTGTTGATTCAGTTCATATATTTCAAAATTGTAATATAGCATTACTTGGTGGTAACAATGATGAATGTATCGCTGTATCACATATATATCCGTATGGACCAGGTACGTTCAAACGGAAAGTTTTATTTTTGATTTATTAAAAGAATAATTGCAATAGTAATAAGAATAAATACATAAATTAAATTCAATACTATTTGTATACCTGGTATTGATAAATTGGATAGAGTATTTTCAATTAAACGCAATATACTAATAATTAAAATAGTAACGATATTCATTTGTTTGAAATATTTTGTGAGAAAATTTTCTTCATAGTTTTGTTCTTGAGCATAAAAACGAACACTTTTATTATCAACAAATTCAATAGAACGTATAATAAATACACGATCATTCAATTGTAAATAATTATTTGTAGTTAAAAATCGAATTGATGAATTCGATTGTGTTTGTTGCTGAAGCCAATTTCGTTCTGCTTCATTATTTTTATATTCACATGTAACGAGAAGATCATTTGTTTTTTCTGTTGAAATCATCGATGGTTTCTCATCGGATATTTGACTATTTACTAATGAAGCTTGTTTTAATTCTTCAATTCGTTGTGCAATACTTGATTTAATATGTTCGGGACGACGAAGTTTTGTTAGAGCAAGAACATCAGGTGTCAATGGTGTACGACGACGATTTCGTAAATTAGGTTTAGCAATAGGATTTGCATAGACTTTTGACTTTATGATTGGGATTATTGATGATGATTCATTGACTTGACTTGGCCGAATAAGCATGGATTGCGATAGATCTGTGCCCGATGGTGTAATTGAACTTGTGTGATTTTTAATAGCTCTAGAGAATTCAGTTGATTTTATTGTTTCGGATGAAATTTTTTCACTGAAATTCGCTGGCAATGGTGGTGCTCGAGGAATATGTATTATTGAAGGTAATTCTTGGTTATGATTGAGTATTGTAAGCATTCTACCTGATTCTGATAGTGCCGATTTATTTAAGTTGAAAGTGTTATTGTAAGTTTGAGGAAGTAAACTAAGAACATTTTCTTTTCTAGAATGATTAACTTGTGATGTTAGAGATGAAAAACGTCGAATAAATTGACGTTTAACACATCGACCGAAATGAATCGATTTTTGACTAAATGAATAACTTCGATGACGCCCAATGGAGGGCATTTACTGCATCCGAAAAAATAGTGACTAAAAAAAAACTAGTACGAAATTTTCAAAACTATTTTATTTGCATGACAACAATGAAAATTTTATTTCAACGAAATTAATTATTCGATATACATATTCAAAAGATAAAAAATATTACAACAATAATAAGAATAACGATTGCTGCACCGGCAGTCAACATGGTTACTGTTGGAAACGAAAATTTTGATTGTCGTTGTTTTATATGATCATGCGAATTGAATAAGATATTCAATTCATCATGATGATCAACAGTAGGCTGATGCTTGGGATATATTTGTTCCTTATACATTTGACTAGTAAAAGGTACTCTACTTGTAGTTGTTGGTTGAATTGAATCGACTGATAGAATCGATGTTGCCCGCTGTTGTTTATCATCGGTTTGATAAGATGAAATCGATTTTGTTATTTGTCCGTTACCCAAATCTATTTCAAATTCACATATATCGATAGGGGATCGTTGCTGCCGTCGTAATGAAACATCGTTTAAGTTAATATCGTTCTCTAAATTTTAACAGATATTGATTTCATCGTTTTGTTTTTCTCCGTACCTTTTTTATCATAACTCGATATATGAAAATTTTCATCATGCACTTCCAACAGCTCATTAGATGAGATATCCGATTGAGAATTTGTTAATAAATTTTCTTGGGCTTTTATCAGTTCAATATGCGTATCATCTCCATGAGCTTGATCTTCATTATTATTGATAGTTGCTATTCGACAATAATTATTTGTCGATGAATCTTTTTCAACTATCAACAGAGGTGTTTCAGACATTCGAATTGATTTTCTAGCGTTCGATTTTATTATGATTCATCATTTATTAAATTGTATAAGATTAAAAATAAATCAAACAAAGTTATTATCTATATTTAGTTTTTCTTTTGGAATAGTAATTTGGCGCTATTACAAAAATAAATATTATTTGATAAAAATCAAAACACTCAGAAAACCGATCATAACTGATAATGTAACAAGAGTTATTGCTGAAAGTATTTTATGTTGTTTAATTTTATGAATAAAACGATGATCGATTTTTCGCCCAGCAGGCTCTTGATTTGATAGTTCTATTCGTGTATCTACGGCAGGTTCTATGTTTGATAGAGATTGTTGATGAAGATTCTCTTCTGACGTTAAAATAACATTAGTGGTTTGCGGTTTTTCTTTATAAAGTTCAACAGGAAGTTTATTTCGAATGGCACTATCAAAAATATGTTCGAGTTCACTAAAATCCATATATTTCTGTTCGTTCGATGATGAGACAGGCGGTTTTTCATCGCCGGCACCGTTGAACAGCTTTCGTCTTAAACGTCTATGTCTTATTCGTGCAGTTTTTGGACGATAATTAACTGTAAAATTATTACAACGCGAAGAAGAACTATTATTGGTTACCGAAGGATAGATCTTTGAACGTCGTATAAATAAACGACCATATTTTTTCTTCTTTTGCTAAAAGATTATATTCTTAATCAATAGTTGAATGGCCTCTTCAGACATACTCACATGAGATGTTGTATATTTTTTCGTTCGAAATAATCCACTATTATTATGTGATTGCATTTGAATCATAATGCAAAAAACGAATAACGATAAATTCGAAAATTTTCGAAGCGCTTTTTATGATGTTCTTTTTTCAGGAGTCATTACTATTCGAGAAGATACAAGAGGATTTATACAAAATAATTTCAATCAACAATTTATCGTTTGGTCTTGTAAATATGACCCACAAGCAATACTACTTCTTATACTTGATCAAGCACTTGCCTACGTACGAAACCAAGATCGAGGTAAAACTAAATAGTTACAAGACATTTTAAAATGTTTCTATTTTGATTTCAAAATAGTGGATGAAACGAACCCGAATATTCTTACCATGTTTACAAAAACCTTGGCTATTATTGATTGTATATCAACATTGATCAAAATTCGACCAGAATATTATGATAGATTCAATGGAATTTTATTACGAACTATCTATATTTTACCAGGGTAAATAACAGAAAATCAAGACAGACACAAGTGTTTGAAACGATTTCTTTTTGTTTTAGTTTATGCAAAATGAATATTATTCCATCTCATGTTTTAATAGAAGCATTCCAAACAATGAAACATACTCAAAGTATTTTACTAAATAATTCTTGATTTATTTTTTTACAAAACTTTTTCTCAAAGGTTTAACAATTTTATTTCTCGAGTCTGCATTATTTCCATCGTTTGCTGATAAAAATGCTATCGTACCAAATGAGCTCGACCCTACAGCTAGGTAAAATCATTCACTTATCATAGATTATTCATTATTATCTTTAAATAGGCTACCGGATGTTGATAGTGCATTTTTCGGTCGATTAGAACAAATGTGTAGTGAAAATCAATATGCTGATGAATGGATTCCTGTATTTATTGCATTACTTGAAGCCACTCGAGACACTGTACAAGTATGTAATGAATAATAAAAAGCATGATTTAATTGTTTATGATTTATAGATCAATGAAACAACGGATCGTTTTCGAGCGATTATTTTCCATTTACTTTTTTCTACATTACCAAAATCAATAAAGATAAAACGATGGTTATCCATACGAGAACAATGTTTAAAATTAATATGGACTGTTATTCTTCGTTGCTTGGGACCAGCAACAGTAGTCAAAGTATCAACAGACGATGAACCTAATAAGTTAGTAGGACTTCATGGGAAAACTTTTTAATGAAAATATTCCTGCTTTTTAGATCACCGGTTTTCATCTTTGGCTGGTTACAACATCCATCTGTTAGTCAAACATTACTTTTATGTGCTCGACCTGCAGATTCAGATACTTCGTAAATAATGAAAACAAATATCGACACTGTTTTTCTTATTTTATTTTCATTTCATTTAGATTATCGGATCCAACAAAGCGAACTTTATATCAGTCATGTTTACAAAATTCTATGTCAATTATTTCCTCTGTAATTGATAATCAAGTAGAAACTTGCAAACATAATATAAATACAACAAATAATCCATTTGGATCGAAATTATTAATTAAAGTTTGCATTGACTTTCTATTACAACATATTAATGATATAAAAGCACCCATTTGTCTACGATGTTTAACAAGTTTAGCTAAAGTAAAAGTAGCTTTGCGCTTCTTCTTCGACAAATCTTATTTATTTATTTGATTTAGATTACACCTGGACTTTTAATTTTATTAGAAACAAATATCGAACGATTTCGTACATTTATCATAGAAAATATCAAAAATAGAAAAGTAAATTCATTGATTATCCGTTTTTGAGCACTGTCTCAAAGCATCAGTCACATTTCATAATGAGATATGAACAACTTCCTGTCGTATTTCTAGTCTCCGGATTTAACAATGACTATTTTGGATTTTTTGATTGTATGTGTTAATTCGCAACCGGCATTACTTGGTTATTTATGTGATATAAATACGGCTCAAGCAGCAACATTTGGTAATTCAACAATTTTACAGCCCATTGTTGAACTACTACGATGGAGCACCCAAGTTAGTAATACATATTTCCTACGCTTATCTATAGAGTTGTTATTTAGCATACGAATGATATTGCTGCAAATGATTTATTTATTTTAACTGTAACATTTATAACACAATTTTGGGAACAACGTACACAATTACTTGTAGATTATTTTGTTAAAATGTAAAAGAAAATTTTCATTCATAATTTTTCGACTTCATATTCTTTTTCTTTTCGAGTTTAGAAACGATTTTTGGAAAAATATTTCAACATCAATATCACATACAAGTGTGTGCATTGAATTAATGGATACAGGTGAAAAATGTGCAGTATCAGCGTCATTTCGTTTACTTACTCAACATTTACTTAATTATACAACGTTAGTTATTTTGATAAATAGAGGAATTTCTTTTTCGAATTTGATTGTTTTTAGTGATCAAACTGGAAATGATTTTTATGATATATTAAATGAATTAATTACCAACAATTGTTTACTTCATTGGATTAAAGTATAGTTTTAAACTGTACAAAAATTTCAGTCAGCAAAATTTCAATGAATATTTTAGGCGTGTCGAACATTTTTTCAATCAAATATTGAAGAGGATATTTTAAATGAACAATCGTTGTCATTTTCGTTTTTTTCATCAGTGATCGCTTTTACAAAAGCACTGCTGTGTCTAAATGTAAGTATTAACTAATATGTTACTTTTATTTACGAGATCTTTTTCTTTTACAATGGTATAGAATGATCGCATTCGAAAGATTTTACCCGGTGGTGAAACATGGCTACAAGAATTAGCATCTATAGTTCAACTTGTACTCACACGCAACGATTCGACATGCATGAAAATTGCAGTTATCTGTATAAATTTAACTATTAACGCTTTTATTAAATGGCGAAAGTAAGTTCTACTATATTAATCCAATCATTTATTAATTGAATACATTTAATTCATAGCGATAAAGCTCAAGCACCATTAAATATCCTACCAACTTATATTAATTTAGCTAATCATGTTCTTGGACCAGAATATGTATCGATTTATGTGAAATATTGCTATTTGGATGCACTTGTTCTTTTAATTCAAACATTCCTTGAATTATCACCTGGTAAAACAGAATATTTTCTCTTTATATTTTAATCTGATGAAAATTTTACTCATAGACATTGACCAACAGCAATATGATCTAACACTTTATTCAACTGTTATCGTGCATTTACTTGACTTTGTAGATTATTGTAATGATATAATTGATATACATCCAGCCACAACGCCTCAATATAAATGCGCTGTTAAAGTATGTTAGAAAACAAAAGTGTCTTTATGTAGAATCTATATGTTCTCAATTCATCATAGGCATTAGTTCATACATTTCATTTACTATCAATATTTGTCTCGAAAGAAGAATCACCTACTTTGTCTGTAAATTTAAAACAAGAACGTACAGTAGCAAATGTTATTGATTTATTCCATAAAGTTTCACAAGTAAATATTTGTTTCTATCAAAGTAAAAACAAAAAAAAACGTTCTATTGTGTGTTGCTCTTTTAGGAAAGAGATAACTTTCGTATATGTTATACAATATTAAGTTTCTTATATGAATTAACAAAAAAAAATGATAGCGCTCAATGGTTTCATACGATGAATATTATTCCGCGTACATTACAAACATTGCGTTTTATTGTTCAACAACAGGCAAATAATACTAATGAAGATGTAAGTTTATAAGAAGAAGAAAACTAAAAACTGTGAATTCATTTTAGCAAAATTCTCAAACGAATTGGTCAAAAGTCGTACGTCTCTATTTACTTTTAAATATTTTTCTTATTCATGCCGAAACTGTGCATGGTGATCATCGTCATTTTAATAATGCATCGGACGTATTTGCAGCTTGTAGTGAATATATAGTGGAAGTAAGTAAAAATTATTTATTAATTTTATTTTTGCGTATTGATCTATTTCTTAGAGTTTTCATAATGTCACAAAACAATTTTCATTATCATCATTGGAAAATGCAGATGTATGCTGTCAATTTTTTGCTTGTTTAACTCAATTCTATAATCAATTGATGAGTAAACACCATAAAGAAGCGTGCATTTGTATTGTAAGGAGAATCACAAATCATTTTATATGAATTAATTTTTTAATTATCAAAAATTTAGGCAGCAGTAAATTATCTTCTACATGATGCAATTAATCTACTTCTTCATTCTGCACTTGTACACAATATGTTAACAGTAAGATACAATCGAAAAATGCCGTTGTTAGATGGATTGATTGATTTTTAGAAAAAAGTTCGTTGTGCATATCGATCCGAATTAGAAAATCAAGAAAATATTGTACCGGATTATTCCATATCACAATCTATTGTTATGGATAATTCGCAATTATCACAACGTACTTCATTACGAGCAGCATCAGGTTTTCTGAATCAATCAATAACATCGTCTGTTGGTGCTCCTCCTGTAACACCAAGTGAAGGTACACCTAAACCACGATTAGTTAATGTTCGTCAACAAGTTGCTGCTGCTTCTGCACAACCAGCTAGTTCTCAAGCACCAGAATTCGAGCAAGTTCAAGTCGGGTATAGATAGAAACTATGAAAGTTGTGGATTTTGTTTTCTTTATCCTATTCTCTTAAGATTACTACGACTTCTTTGCACTTGTTGTTGGGCACTTCATCCATGTACAATTCCATTGAATGAACTTAATGAATCAATTCTTTATAAGCAAACAATCGACTATGATTCATTTAAATATCTAGTTGAACCATTGTTTAATACACCAACATTAGAACGACGTACAGCACCATCATTTGGTACTTGGCTTACTGGTGCACAATATATTGTCACTCAAATGGAGCGAGTATGTGCTAGTGAATTCCATTTGAATTTTAATATTGTTGAAATTTTCTAGTTTAGTCTTATTAAAAGTAGTTCACCAAGACCAGCTCGTATTAAAGAAAGTGATCTTGAACGTTTAGTACAGCAGAGGTATGTCTCTATTTGTCTTATGTAAACTAGATATTAAATGATTTGTTTTCTTTCTAGACCTTTTCTTGTTCTTGCACTCGAACATTTATTAAGTTTAATTCTTTCTCAAGTACCACTCTTTATGCGATCAACATATCTTGGTGAAACACAAAAAAATATGATGAAGCAAACATTATCACTTGAATTGGTATGTGTTAACAATGAGAGCTTGCATGTTTATTTAGTTATTTATTCTTATGTTTAGGATTACATCTTTTCAAATCTTAATTTAACTGAGCGAACATCAAGTACAAGTGGTGGCGGTAGTGATCCAAATTCTCAACGAACATCAGTAAATGTACCAACGCCAGCTACAGCTGGTGGTGGTCCGACGAGCCATAAATCACTGATCATGAGTGTATCGAATATGTCGCATCCACCAGGGTCTATAACACGTGAAGCTTATACACCGTTTTCTGTTGGTACCAATGTAACATGTTCCGGTGCATCGGAATATAATAATTCAACTCATTTGAAAGATGTTTGTACATCAATTTGGAAACTCTATAAACGTATTATTCAAACAGATCCAGTTGTCTTTGTTGATTGATAATTTAGAGAAAATAAACTGGGCGTTTTTTTGTCTTCTTCGTGTGTTTATTTGTATACATAAATATGATAATAAATCATGATCACCAACGGTCAGATGAAATATTAAACGGCATTAAATTTTTTTCAGATGTCAGGTCTAACGTCAGCTTTCGCTCGCTATTCTGAAGAAGTAACAGCTTCTCCTCTGACTGATACAGTATTATCTGCATCACGTAAACGTAAACGAGTCTCAATGACAACTACAAACGGTCATTCGAACGGAAACCAAACAAATAAAACACGGTCGAAATCATTACAACCTTTATTACCTATTCCGGAAACAAATGGGCAATCGAAGATCATCGAAAAGCCAAGCACCGTGAAAAAAATAAAAAAATCGGAAACAAAATTTTTGTCTCCAGCCTATCCAACACCGTATCCACAACGTCGTGTTGTTGTTTCCGAATCATGTCAATCTCAAATTGAGAAAGCAACTTCAGAAGAAAGCGATGAAGACGATGAAGACGAAGATGATGATGATGATGTAAGACTTTAATTTATTTTATGAAGATTTATTCCACTAGAATTTTTATTACAGGTTGAAGATGACTCTCCTTTATCGGCCTGGCTTCATGATCACGTTCCTATTGAAGATAGTACTCTTCTTGGTGAGCATTTGTTTGGTTTACTCATTGATCCTACACCAGTGAAAGAATTCATGAAGAAAACATGGCAACGTGAACCATTACTTGTTCAACGTAAACAATCGACTTATTACAATGGTCTCTTTTCAACTGGTGACATCGATGATATACTTCGAGACAATAAACTCGAATATAGTGAAAATATTGATCTCACTTTTTATAATCCAACAACATTTAAAAAAGAACGTCATAATCAAGAAGGTTTGCTCCATAGCTATATAGTTAATTGTAATTTTCGTTTTGTGTTTGATAGGTCGTGCTCGTCCAGCTGTTGTCTGGGATGCATACAATGAAGGATGTTCAGTTCGTATTCTTAATCCTCATACATATTCAACAAGTGTTTGGAAATTACTCTCAACTCTTCAAGAATATTTTGGTTCACTTGTTGGTGCAAATACATATTTAACACCGCCTGGTTCTCAAGGTTTTGCACCTCACTATGGTATGAATAAATATATTTGTACATAATCCATCGACATATATATATATATAATTTTATGTTCAGATGATATCGATGCATTTATTCTTCAACTCGAAGGGAAAAAACATTGGCGTGTTTACAATCCACTCAATGATGATGAAGTTTTACCATTGAAATCAAGTCATGATCTAGATAAAAGTGTTGTCGACAATGTAAAACCATGTATTGATGTTGTACTTGAAGCAGGTGATCTGCTTTATATGCCACGTGGTTATATACATCAAGGTTATACTCTTGATGATGCGCATTCATTACATCTTACAGTTAGTTGTTATCAACAACATACATGGGGAGATCTATTCAAAATACTTTTACCTAAAGCAGTCGATTATGGTTAGTTCTTCACACAAAAACCAAACTTTCTAATATAAAATATTCATCTTATTATTAGCTATGAACACTAATGTTAAATTTCGTCGAGGTGTACCAATGGGTTATCTCAATCATTTCGGTCTTATTCATAATACCAATAAATTAGCAATGAAGAAGCGTGCGAAGTTTCATGCTACTTGTCATCGATTACTTGATGAGTTACTTCGTGAAAGTGTTCCTATACAAATGGATAATAGCGTAGATGAAATGGCTCAGAAATTCATGCATGATGCATTGCCACCGATGTTAACAGCAGAAGAACAATTAACAACAATTCAAGAACAAGGTGAACGATGGAATAGTGACTTGAATCGTGTTAGCAACGTGGTAGAACTACAACCTGATAGTCGCGTTCGTCTCCTTCGTCGTCATTGCTTACGTGTTGCTGAACAAGATAATAGTGCTGAAAATGATGAAGATAATATTGTTGCTTATTATACAACTGACAATGGACGAGTTTATCATGATCGGCCACTATCAACACTTGGCGTGGATAAAGAAACATTGCCTGCACTTGAACTGCTTTTCACCAGTTATCCAGAATATGTTAGCATTGATTCATTACCATTGACAACAATCGAAGATAAAATTGCTTTCGTATCAACGTTGTATGAAAAAGGACTTGTTCGAACAGAATATGAACTGGCACATTCGGATGATGAAGATGAATCGGATAGTGATGACGATGATGATGATGATGATGATGATGATGACGACGGAGAAGAAGAAAATGGGCGTAAGTTAATATTCTATTTTTAATAACAGTTCTTTATTGTTTTCTTTTAGTCGTTTCGAAGCGACAAAAAGTTCGCAATGAATCAACAGATGATGATGATGATGATTAAATAACTCAGTGATGTCTTTCTAACATTTTTTCTTCTTTAAATTCTTTGGCTTTGTTACTGTTATTAAAAATAAAAACACAATATCATATGAAAGGATCTTTCTAGCTTAGGTTAAAGAGAAATCGAATGACACGTGATATTTCATAAAACAAGAAGCGTCTCCTGTTGAAATTCATAATAATGCTTTCAATATCAGCGCATACTCTTAAATAGATGCATGTGTTTGATAAGATAACAGCATCAAGAATAATCGGTCGTGAATTTATTCTTTCATTTCAACAATAGAGAAAACAAAAGAATGAATTTTTTCGCACGTTGTAGTTTTGTAGCTTTTTGCATCTTTGTTGCGGAAAACAACTTGAGCAAAGCGCTAGCAGATCAGCGAGGCCATGTGCGTGAAACTCGAAAGCAATATCAATGTATTGCCCATTGTATGTTTTCCGCTTCATTCGATGAGCTCTCGTCGTTTGTTCTTCCACAACAATGTCAAACACGGGTTCAGAATTCGGTTTGTCACATCGAACTCAATGTTGATTTTGAAGCTCGTCGAGTGTCAGTTGTATTTGATTATCACGGTGATCATGCTGATATGTCGACTGACATCGATTTAAAATCCGACATGGAAATGGAAGTACGTGAGGCATCATTCAATTTTCAGCGTAACAAAATATCGAAAGCTACTTGGATCAATTTTTGCACTACGAGTGATGAATGTGATAAACGGTATATGGATAGTCAAATTTCACACATAGCAAAAAATGATAAGTGGCCCATATTCGACAATATTTCTTCATTGATCTACTCTTCGTCATCAGAAAATCTACAATGCCATTTGGATGATATCTTGAAAGTTTGTCCAAATCAGCATGTTTGTGGCTATACTCTTAGCCCTCAATCGAATAATGGCAAACCAGACTATACTTGCCAGCCAAAACCAGCTGATGGGCAGATGATCTTCTTTCAAACTCATAGATCAAAGACAACCCCATCATTGTCGGCAGACCTAAAGAAATATGATATACTCAATTATACGTGCAATGTTGACAATTGCAATAGTCCAACAATCTCCACTGAAATCAGACGTATACTCAATTTCGAAGTGGAGGTATTCATAATTAATTCTAGCCATTCAATCCTTTTCGGCACGAAAGCTTTTCTTTTTCTATTTTATGCATCGATTTTTGTTGTTATTGCTTAACAGACATGTATTTTATTTCTTCATACTTATTCACTTTTGACTAAACCGAACCTTGATAATGAAAAACTATAAAAAAAAACTACGCCCAAAATAAATAGCTCTATCTGCACATAATCTGAATGAAAATGATGATTTCTCTTTATTTAATTTATTCGTGTGATACTTCAACGATCAATTAATGTTTGAAGAAACTTCACAGCAGTAGTGATGAGGTTTCTCAATCATGCCGTATATTACCCCCTTATATCAATGAATACTTAGGATGTCTCTATTATGAACAATGATCAATTCCATATACTATGCTCACCATGGGGTTTCAAGAGACAAGGCGATAAAGAGAAAAAGGAATATATTGAATTCGGTTAAGGAAGGGTGAAAATAAATATATGCGTGGACTATAAATCTGATTGAATACTTTTACGCCACAGTTATTTCTTAATAAATATGTTTCTATTTCTACTTTAGAAAGTGTGGATATTACTTTTCAACTAGCTGTCCGCACGTTGTACAACGATAAAAAATTTTCTTTCACTTTTATAGTCGACAAAAAGCAGTGGTTACAATGATTAATAAATCCGTAATTCTCATTTATATTCTTGCTTTGTGTCTGTTTTTTATTGGTTCTTAAAAGGAAAAAGCATCAGCAGCATATTAAGTTAGTAGAAAAAAATAATGATTTTAATACTCATGCCGGACGATATTTTCGCTTCAATGAAAGCAGGTAATATGTCGTTCTTTTTAAAAATTTTTAGCAATTAATAATTTGATCTTTGACTTAAATATTTCAAGATTTCTATCGATGAAAATCTCTCTCAAAGGAGTACAACAGACTCTAACTTATTGATAAATATTACACACAAAACATAGATTCATCATCGATCGATATTCTTTTCGCTGTCTTTTTTTCAATCATGATATCAACATATTCATTAAATGGTTGCGACAATGACACAAGTGTTCAAGACACGCTGTATCGTTATTGCCAAGAAAACAATTTAGAAGAACTTCGAAACATTTTACCATTTCTTCGTAATGCATCTGTCATTAACGAAATCCATACCGCAACAGGTTCCACGTGTTTGCATGTTGCATGCTATCGTGGACATAAAGATGTAGTAGAAATTCTATTACAACATGGAGCTTCGTCTTCGATCAGAAATACACGACATTATTTAACACCTTACGAAGAAGCCGGTACAGAGGATATCAAACAATTATTGATCAAGTATGAAAGATTATTTTCAAGTTCCACTCGTTATTATATTGAATGGTCAATGGTAGGCGATGATCTTCTCAGTAAACGTCGCCAATTTCGCGAAATAATTGATTTATATAAAGCCTATAATAATCGTCACTTAATATCCAAACTATTAACTGAAGTGATTCATTATTATTTGAATGACTATCTACTGAATGAAATTAATCAAGCTGAAAGCACTAAGTCGGAAATTATCCGTCAACAGATAGAAACAGTCCAAACGTATTTTCAAGAAGCAATTAATAAACATGACTATTTAACATATTTTATAAAAGCTTACACATTAACAACTTGTTTTTATCAAAAACTAAATGAACATTTAGCTATGTATATATTAGAATATTTCGATGAAACAGGACGATCATCATCAAATTATCGTCTCGTGAATTGTCTTGTTCATATTGTTACACTGCTAATTTATCATCCAAACTTACCGCTATATCAGTTTCAAGGTGTTTGCTATCGTGGTATGAGAATAACACAAAAGGATTTAGATCAATATCAATTAGGTCAGCATATACTAAATCGTTCGTTTTTATCAACGTCCGCTTATCGTTCAGTAGCAGAAATGTTTGCTGGTGAAGGTCAACAGAGTTGCATGAGGCGTAGTTATCAAGATCACCGTTCTTTGCAATATTCTTGTATATGCAAATATGAAATAAAACAAGAGTCAACAGCTATTAATATAGAAAATTTATCGACAAGACCAGATGAAAAAGAAGTTTTAATTATTCCATTTAGTGTTTTTGAAGTAACAAATATTAAAATAAATCCCCTTGATCCACCAAGTAAAATTTCAGTTGAAATTGAATTAAAAGAATGTGAGGATATAAATAAATCTGGCAGTAAGACATTATTTTTAAATTATCTCAATGAAATTTAATTTTTCTTCGTTACAGAGTTCCAAAAATGTACAATTCATACATATCTTCTATATAGTATCACTGGATTATTACTGCTATTAGCTTTCATTTTGGCTTTCAATATTAAAATAAATATCAATGCAAATATGGCAACTCCTAAAATGCAAATAGATGATGATGTCGATTATCCAGTAGGTCCAGGTAAAAATGAGACAAAACAAGGATCCACTAGATAAAAGTATAAAATACTAAAATTTTGAACTTTTTAGGGGTTCTTGTTGGTGTAGTTATCCAGGGGCGCAATACAGATTTTGACTATATTTTTACGATTCTTAGAAAAAAGTTTTGAAGTAGGGAGGCGCACCGTGAGAAATTTCAAAAGCAGGAGAGGGCGTTGCACCGCATGTCCCCTTATTTTTATCACAACATGAACAAATAACTATNCCCCACTCCCCCCCCCCCCCCCCCCTATTTACACTCCTGTAGTTATCAGATTAATAAAATTTGATTTAATAAAAGCAAGCTAGTTTTTATTTTCCTTTCGAATGCGTATAAATATTAAACAAAAATGTCAATATGCATTAATTATAGATTGTCCAAATATATTAAATCGATCTATGTGGAATGCAAGACCATTTTTAAGTCGTGACTACTTACAACTATTACCGGTTACACATATTGTAATAAGACGCATGGGAGTTTCGAATTCATCAATGAATAAATTAGATTGTGCTAAACAAATAAAAAAATGTCAAGCGTATCATATGGACACATTAGGCTGGTTTGATATTGGTTTTAATTTTATTATATGTGGTGCTGATGGTCAAAAACAAATTTATAAAGGTAGAGGATGGAAATATATTGGTGCACATTGTAAAGGTTACAATGCCAGATCATTGGGTAAGAGAAAAGTTCATTTTTAGTTTTTTTTATCAACTTTATCTTGAACTCACATGAACCTTCTATTAATGAAGTTCTCTACTAACTTCTCCTTTAGTATGTCAAGATTTTTAATTATACTGATTTTATTTTCTAATAGGTATTGTTGTCATGGGTAATCAGGCCAATAGGGAGTCATGCAAAATAATTAAATCAATAATTCAATGTGGTATTACACAGAATAACATTATGAAAAATTTCACATTAGTTGGAGATTTAAAAGAAACAAATATTCATAACTATTATTTGAACTATTTTATCAATGATCCTGATATTCATTATGCTAACGTATCCATGAATAAAAAAACTTTTTGCCAATAATACATCAGTGTACATATCTTCTCGTTTAAAATAGTCTACTATTTTGAAGTTAAAGTTATCAAGAAAACAAACTTGAAAACATTCATTGCCGATATTTTCTATATACTAAAGAAGTCATCGTGGCAGGTGGGAAAATATTCGATAAGATAGTTTTCAGGGAATATGATATGACGCTACAATCACATTCATCCATTACTACATTCGATACTAGGCTGTTGCGAGTCTCCATTTCTCTAGGTCCGGGCAAGGGGGACACCGAGCGAATAGTTATTTGTTCATGTTGTGATAAAAATAAGGGGAGGATAAATTATGATCAATAATAAACATTTTCCCACAGCAACAATAAACGGTGCCATATAGTCATATGAAATAAATGTTAGGTGTGAGGGTGAGACTTATCTTCTTGCATACATAAGTTGATATTCTTCTGATTGTAATATTTTGTAAAATATTTCAGATAGATATTGAGCGATTAAACAAAGCTTAAAATTCATGAGTCTTTATAATTAGAAAACTTAGTTTTGAATTCTGAAACTACATCAGGATAATAATAATTCAATGGTAAAATTGCATGCATTCTTTATGCGTACGTTAGGATAAAAGTTATAGTGTTATTGACTAGATGAATTAAGAAAACTAGGTAAAATAGTTTAAGTGCTATAGAAGTATATCTTAAAAGAAACTTATAAATTTGACATTGAATATTCATTTCAAATTAAATGAATGGTGTGTCTTTTTACAATTATTGTTTAGGAACTGCATAATTAGAGATACACGGTTGCCATCCACCGTGGAAAAGTGAAAATGAAACTTTGTCAGATTCTCACTATCAGATTTTTATAAATGAATGGCTTTTAATAAGTTAAAAAGGTGCAACTTTAGTCAGAAAATTGCGAAAAATATTGAATTTTTCGCGAGTGACTAAACATTTTGATACCACACTTGTATACATTATTGAACTTTTGAGAAAATCTGATATTCCATGCAGTTTCGTTTTCAATTTTCAACGTTGAAAAAAAGCAGATTTTTATCTACCTTCTAGCAAAAATGATTCCGAAAATACTCATCCTTCTTTTAATTTGAAACGAATGCTAATTAGACAGGCGTTGATTTCTCTCGCACATACACGGGCATAGATTGATAAAATAGAAAGATGACAAATGGGTTTGGGTAAATCATAATAGAATGGTAAAGATGTGAGAAAAATAAAATCTATCTAGTAATTTCTTTTCAATAGTGTATCATAGTTTATCATGCTGGCATCATAATCTTGACAAAAGCATCAATAAAAAACTGCAGGTTTGGATGCTCGTCTAATTACTTTATTGCCACAGTAATACAATAATGTAATCGATCAGACTAATTTTGCATAACACTTTTATGGTCTGTTACATCTGAAACTGATAAACAAATATTAAATGTTGTAGGCGGACTACAAAAATATGTATATTTCGCATTCTCTTGCTGATATTGATTTTTTTGTATCAGTGGTTTTAAAGAAAATTTACTTTTTCGTGAACATAAGCGCTTTTGAAACCATATGCAGTTTTCAGCTTTCATATTTAAATGAACAGAATAAAATGAGCTAAATTATCACGCACATGGTTTATTACAGAACTCATGTATACATAATGAAGTTTAAAAAAAGTAAAGATGCACCATTTTATGAGAGAATAAGGAATATGATCTGTTGAGATATTCATTGTTTCTCTGCAAGAATTACGGAAGTATGAAGAGCTTGCTCTGAATAAAATGTTAGCGAATAGGTGTGTGATGGTGATGGTGGGTTTGTGTATATGCAATCATATTTCTTCTCCTAACTTCACACTCCCAAGACAAGTATACAAAGAACAATATTCTATACAAGTGTAGACTTCACAAAATCGTCGAAACTGATTTTTCTCCAAGAAACAGCTATCTCTGTCGGAGGTGTGACTCAATGAAAAGTCTTATCATAAGGTGTGTCGGGTTAGCATTAAGTTATGAACACTGTTAATACTTTTTCACTAGTGTTATTTTTTAAACCGAACACTTAGGTATTATTGGCATAACAATAACAATCAGTTGATGCCAATACATTAGCAACAGAATTAAATTGTATTATTATTTGAAATTATATGACTTACGAGTCATTCATAGGCGATTAAGAGTCCGAAAAACAGAGTATAATTGTTCTGTTTTGAGAAATGATGTATAATAATTACAACTAATGTTATTACTTTGACATCATTTAATTATAATGCCAATAATACAGAAGCATTAACACTGTTCATACCTTAGTAAAAATGCGACACACCTACTGATAAGACCTTTCAACTCGCCACACCTTCGACAAAGAACAGTTTTTACTTGGAAAAAAGTATTTCAGTTCCGAAAGCTTGACGAGATCTGCATTTAGGTGGAATATCATTTTGTACGTATCTATAATAAAAACATGGCAGGACGATCCAAGAAATCAGAATATGTATTGGAGAGGATTTATAATCGCTTCCATGTAACGTTCTACTGGTTCAAAACGCGTCGCCGACCGTTTGGAGGTGGTGATGTTGTATGCGTCAGGATGCATCTAGAACGCAACATTTTCAGACGTTTGAACACATTCAAAAATCAAAACGCATGCAAACTCTTCTATATTGCAAAAGGATTGAGACGCATTTTCGGGTTTTGCTGCCTATAAATGCAGTAGGAGATGAACGCATGTTAACGCGTTTACTTTTCGGCCACAAAAGATTAAAAAATAACCATCACTCTATATCGGAATTCTATATTCATTAATCGCATCATTAACTCGTTTAACACTGCTTGTTGCAACTTTGCGAATAGAGCTGCTATATTTTCACTTCATGAAATATAAATAATATATTCGTGATATTCAGAAATAAATTTTTTATATTAAAAACAAAGATTACCGAATAAAAAATTCGCTCTGTGACGAATAAATTTCTAAATATGTGGTATAAAGGCACTAATTTGCATCTTTTTTCTTAATCGTAATGAGACGTGAAGAATATTCTTGTCTACACAATTTTTTTGTGACTGATATTAAAAGGTTTTTAAGTATCCGGAGAAAAAAGATTAGGTTTTTATTTAGCTTTCTTTTTTCTTATGAATAAATCATTCATGTAACTTTGTCTTAAAAGGATAAGTTTTTAGAAATTTTTTCTTATTGTGCTTCTAAGTAATCAAATTCTGTGACGTATTGATCTTCATTGCATAAGTCTAAAGTTTCCTTTCGAGCCATTTTATTATAGGGCACAATGAAGATAAGCCAACAAATCTATTTGAAAAAGCACTTGTGAAATTTCGATAAATTAAATAGCTAGAAATAAAAGTGTCATATTCAAATGATTTATTTGTTGGTCTAAGAAATAAAGGAAGCAGTAGCCAACAACAATACGATTGTAATCTGTCGTCTGCCAATTCTTAAGTATTTAGATTTAATCTTGAACGAAAAATAGAGCTTTGATAAAAAGAATTAATATTTTTCATAAAAGATCTGCAGAAAACAATCTAATGTCATAGGCGTACTGCTCTACATAATAAATCTGTTAAATCAAACTCATTTTAATTATATTTTACTGATAGCGATGCAGTTTGCATGGTAAACTCTAGTTCGGTTTGGATACAGAATGGTGATTTTTTTGTGATTTTTTTGAGAATACAGCAAACGCGTTTATTTCATAACAGTATTATAACTAGGAAAGCGAGAAATGTATATCAATGCGTTATGGTTTTCGAACGCGTTCAAACGGTATCTTTTGATATGAATCAATTTGTGTGCTGTAGAATTGGTATGCAGAAAGTTGCATTTATTCGTTCCAAACGCATCCAGAGCTCTGAAAATGTTGTATTTTCGATGCGTTCAAACACGTCCAGTTGCTTAGCTTGTAGACATCCACGGATCTTTCAGATTTCAAGCATGGATAGATGGTTGATCTAAAGGATATCATTGATTTATTCTAATTTCAATAAAAACAGATAGGGTTTTGGATAGCATCTACTAAACAGGCCCTTATTGTAAACTTAACTCAGTTTTTATATGATTCTGAAGTGCTGCACACCGAAATAACGAAAACAAGATAATCGTTATCGATTGAAAACGTAAAGAGATATTTGTGAAAAATTATCTTGCTTAAAATATGTATCATAAAGAATCAATGATAAAAATATTTTTCGGTTTATTCTTGTTCAAAGGAGTTAATAAAAAACTGATATGTTTATCTATATGAATGCGAGAAATCAATTTTTTCAGCTACTACCTTCTGAACCTAATATAATTACGTAATACTATTGCAATGAAGATATAGCACACCAGGCTCATGAGCACGTTTTCGCACACACCCAACTTCCTTTTTGAAGTATTTATCCTCGCTAACCAACTTATATAACTATATGTTCGACTACGTGCTAGAAAGTAATGCATCCAAGTGCGTTTCCGCAAGCTTGACAGAAGTATCCAGCGGAACGTGGTTCATCGACTCTGTTGATCAGAGGGTGCGTGTCAACGCATTTCATAATAACAGGTTAAATACGTTTCTATGCGTTTAGTTTAAAAATATATTCCAAAACTATGAATGTTATCTAAACGCGTTCGTGAAGCACAGTGATTAGTGCATCTAGATGCGTTTCCGTCATGCCTCCATATAGAAACGCGTAGGAGCGCAGAAGATTTGCAACATAGACCCGTTTAACTGCATCTGAAGTGCGTTTTATCATTACATGGGTGTGTTCACTACTGTGGGTACGATATATGACGGTGAATATCGATCAAAGACTTTGGTGCATACGGTACGAGATTTACAGCCCTCAGAATCGCCAAATTCGACTCATTTTCTCGTATCATTATCATGACTTAGATAAAGACTAGAATATTACCTAACGGAAGTGAATAATACTAAGCAAACACATGTCATAGTTTTGACGCTCTTGACGCAAAGAAAGAATTTCATGGTAAAAGCAAGAGATAAGTTGCTTTTCTTATTTAAGTGTATTTTTATTAGACATATGAAAGGTTTTGTTTTGATGAAAATTTACAAATTTATCATAGTTGTCTATCACTTGAAAAAAACAAAGTAATCAATATATCATCGAGGCTTCCTCTTTTTTTTCTCTTCGCAGCATGATGCAAAGATAAATTCTAACACTATTTAACTTGATATTCACAGCCGAAAACACTACGAAAATAATTCCATTAGGTAAGTGCAACAAGTTGGTTAATACAAGCGTAGTGGGCTACATATTGTTTTTCACTTGGACCAAGGTGGTAAAATATTAGAATTATTGAAAACTGTAGCGTATATCCACAGTTGATTCTGGTAGAGACAAGGAAAAAATAATATTGTAAGTCTGAGAATTGTGCGGCTGCCGACGAAGTAGATATTCCTTACATCATACGTATTTACTGATACAGTGAATATCTTGCAGCTAACCAAGTTTCTCTTCATTGCAGTGTGGCATAAAGTTCGTCGTTTCTGAGGATAAATCATAGGACTACAACACGTGTAATGACTTTTATTCAGTGACACTCGTGTGTTTGACTTTTCAGAATATTTGTATGTAAAACGAGAAAGAAAATGCATGCCCTTAGCCTTACAACAGTTTCCAATACTTTGATAATCTGTGGAATGATATTTCAATGTACGATCTAGGTTTCAAGGAGAAATATATATATGGATAAGAAAGTTTCTCGAACAAAGCATCTCTCTATTCGTAATCGTATAATTCAGTAAGCGATTCCAAAATGCCAAAATGATTCTAAGTGTGTCAAGTAGGCTTGTGGAAATGAACCAGAAAAAATATTTTTGGGAGTTTCTCTCAGTTAGCTTCATGACCACGTATCTTAGTGATTTATATATTTCAGACTGTTCTGTTATCTAATTTATCTAGTAGGAATAATCCTTCGAAAAAAATTCTCAAGCAAGAAAAAATTAAATTTCGTAACCATCATTAGTGATATTAATTATCATTGATGTAGACCCAAATTCTTTAGCACTCTGTTTCGTAGTTAGATCGATCCAACATCAATATCATTCATAAGGAAACGGCAAACCACAGATTTTTCAAGAAGATCAATTACTTTCAGTTAGTTAGTTTTTTCAATGTGAATAATTTCATTTATTTTACTATAACATGTAAATATATAAAATCGCTATGTTGTGATATGATTCCAACATTCATAGAACCCGTGATATTTGAAAATGAAGTTTTACGTAATGGTAAGAGAAAATAAGTTGCGTGTCGACGAATCATTGAATTCAAATTTACGAGAATTATAAATAAACACTTGAAGATTAGTGGCTCGCGTTTATCGCGAACTACATCAAATAGTCTTTCATTCAATTTCAGCGTATGAATAAATTCGTAGCTATTCATTTTTGAATTTCAATCTTGTATTGTTTAGTGTAATTCATAACGACATTTGAGTTGCGAATTTTTTTTTTGATAACTTAGAGATTGAATGTCATGATGTCTATTGTTTATTTATTAAATAGGACTGCATTCAAGACTCAGAATAGTCAACATCTTATAGGCAATTCAATACCGAACATGGAACAACGACTAGTGACCATAGTAAACAAAAATATACCTGACAATTTGTCATTTGTTTTCCTTGATGACTCAGTTACAGAATATGTCCATTTTAAAGATCGATTTTGGGAACAAAATAGTTGCACTGCTAACTTATGGTCGAGATGTAACAACGTTGAAGAATTTAAAATCTTTTTCTCACGTATCGTTTTGCCAAGCAAGATTGTTCTTATTACGACAGGTAGCCGTTGTAGTGATGCTATTAAAGACATTAGTCATCTAGATGAACTTCATTCGGTGTACATTTATTGTCGATCAATACCAAAATATGAACCATTAAAGAAGCAATATTCAAAAATCAGCGGTGTGTTCGATATTCCAGCTACTTTATTGATGCACTTACGGAACTCTCTAGAAGAAGAAACGATTCATGTATCAGATGGATTGAGACGAAATCCGCCTCAACTGACTGTGGCGGAACGAGGTAGGTTCGAATTTGTGTGTTTAATGAACTCTTAATTGACTGATAATTGCATTGCTATTAAATTATAGCTAAAGAAGCGGCTACTCCACCGAAACACAACCGAAATGCAGAGGAACCCGATGTCGAATATTTCGCTCAGCCCGGGATTCACTGGTGTCCATGGAATTCAAATAGTTGCTCGACGAATCTTCTTGTTCAAGGCCAGGGATCAGTGATTGTCATGCAATTCGAGGCGATGCCTTTTGAGCTTCGCCTTTCAAATAGATCAGATCCGAATGATACAGAAGCTTTCTCAATCATCCTCATAGTCGATCCCACAGAAGCACGATTAGGTACTAATAATCGAACATACGATTCAAGTACTGTACCACATCATGTACTTCAACCAAATAATGGTCAATGGCGTCAATATTGGATAAGCTATTCCAAGCAAACACACACTGTTCAATATGGCATCGGTGAAATGCGATCCTTATTTACAATTTTTCGAATAATACTTGATGAAATAGATCATCAAAGCATGAAAGACGTTTGTTATCTTCATATTAAATTGAATGGCACCGATCAAATGCTGATAGATCATGCTGCTTCCCGTGAAAATTTTCGATTTTTTGTGGGCGCAGAAGTTGTTTGTGATCCGGCATTAGTTATTGTACCCGAGAATATACTGACTCTTATAGATCGTATTTCACACCGAGCCATTGAACCATCATGTTTAGAAGGGCCTTGTCGAAAATTATACAGAAGTATTTTGAATTTCGAATTGAATGAATCTGATTTTCCCGATTTTTCACGAGCGATCGACCGTAGTGTTCGATCTCCCGACGGTTGGTGCCATAAAAAATTAATCGAGAAAGCAAATCGATTTGGCCGACCCAACTTTCATGCAACTTATCTACGTATTACCATCGGTCACCGTAATGGCAGTGCACCAGGTCATGCTTTTGTCGTTGAAGCCTGGCCACCTGGTCACTACAGTCCTGTTCATAGTCATAGTAACGCATATGGAATCATCAAAGTACTTAGTGGTCGAATACTTGTCAAAATCTATCCGGAATTAGCATTAAATGTTCGACAGCATTCACCAATTGAGACGATTTTGGAACAAGGTCAAATAACATGGATGCTACCAAAACTTAATCAGATTCATCAGGTACGAAATCCAGACATCTATGGAAATACCAGCGTTACGATTCAATGTTACCAATATGGCGAAGAAGACCAAGAACATTACGAATACTTTGACTATTTAAACAACGATGGACAGGCGATTGATCATTTTGATCCAACTTCAGACATTGACTTTTTCGAATTCAAGCGCCTGATGCAAAATGAATGGAATATAACAGTAAAGAATTGAAAGATAATAGTAATGTCTAAAATCATCACCAATGACTTTGTATTCGTAAATTTTGTTTTTGACAGAATTATTCAGTAATTCTTCTTATTTTCGTTGACTATTCTAATTTTTTATACTATCTAATGGAATACATAGTATTCCTCTTCTGAACTGATACGTTAATAACAGGAGATTGGGGCGTATTTTATCGATGTATTAGTTCTAATAGTTGCGCTCTGTGTTACACGGAATTTTTCTTTAGGGCTTCTCGTTGTTCTTTTTTGTTTCAAATAAACAATTTTATATTCTTGTGGGAGTCATAAATGTTGAAATAATTCATATACTCGTTGATTCTGTCAATAGAATGTAAAATAATTTAATAATGAATATAAAATCGTATGTTTAGAATAGTAGCTAAAAAGTTTTTCTCCGTTGTCAGTATTGTTCTTTCGATATTTTTGTATAATTGTGTAGCACTATCAGACTTTGAGTGTATCAGCTTACTAATGTGACTGGTCCAATCACAGAAAACGCAAGAAGTGGAGGATTCATTTCACCAGAAAGCCAAAATCCAATGTCCGCAATTTCGTATTTTTCTTATTGCTAATCTTGTTTTTATTCATAGGAAACATCGGATTCTTTGACTCTAAGAGTGTTTGCTTTTGCTGGACTTTTACAACTTGGACATGCAAAAGAACCCGAATATACTTTGCTTAAAAAGAAACAAGAAAATGTCACACAAAGTTTTTCATTTGGCAAACACATTTTCCTCCGTGAGATTTAATAGAGCGAATAAGATTCACTCCTGAGTTGTATGGAATCGATACTTTTGATGAAGTTTTTGTACCAAAAGTATTTGAAGAATAGAAAAAAAGATTTCTCTAGTCAATAACTTCATCTTTTTAGAATCGTTGACTGGTGTGAAACAAATGACTTTCTGATATTATGTATGAAGACTTAAATATTTGTTCCCAACGCTAACTTGACGTGGTTGTTTACAACGAATAATTAGCTTTAAGACACAGTTTTATTCAACAATGATGCTCTTGTATATAAATGGTTGCTTAAAAATATCTAAAGTTTATGAAAAATTTTTCAATCCGAATAACCGTTTGAAAAAGGAAATAGTTTTCAATTTCCATTTGCTCATTGTATCTGATGCCTTTTGAACACGCGAACGGACCGCATCAGATACTCGATCCCAAAAGTCTCGATTACTCATTGTGAGTGCTACAAATTTGCAGAAATCTTCATCATTCAAATTATTCGCAAGAAAATCCATTAATTCATGTATATTTAATATTGGCATAGTTCCCATGATATTAGAAAACTCGAGAGAGTTAACACCGATGAGAATTCCATGCTTATTTAGTGATCCATTATCACTGCTATCAGGAGGTTGTCCATAGTGATAACATAATTTCCCAGTTGACACTGAAACTGGGCCAAAAATCGCATCCATAATATAGCGTCCTCCATCTATTTGCCCTTGAAGTTGCTCGGTACTTGCGCCATATATATTTGTAATTACATAGCAAATTGGTATAGCCTTTTCTTGAAAGTTCTTTAAAATACCAGCTACAATATCACTATCCACACGACCTCCAGCAGCGGCACAGTATATAATAAAAATAGGGTTAATGTCTTGTTCTTTCATTTCATTAAATAAATTATGTACGAAATCGATGTCAAGCCAACGATCAAATCCTTTCGTATCCCAAAAGCGGAATTGTAATGTACCTATAGTCGTTGTTGCCCTGGTTAAACTTTGTGTAACATGATCAATTTGAGCTTATATCGGAATATCAATACGAGTAATCGCTTTGATAAGCTGTGATTTACCGATACCAGATCGCCCAAATACACAAATATCAATTGGTGGTAAACGATCGAGAATTACCGATGCAGTTAAATTTCGCTCTTTCGCTTGTTTATCAGCAACCACATGAACTTTTTCTGCAATATCTTCTAATGTTGACGTGTCAGACGTAATTGCTGTTTCATCTGTAATTGCGATTTCATTAGAAATCGGAGACGTTGATAATGAATCCATGATTTATGTATGAAAGTTCACTTGTGCTGATAGAATTGTGTTGATAATTCTAGAAAGTAAATATTAAGAAAGAGTAAAACAATTCAAGGCTTTTGCTACGTAACCATAAAACTTCATCTTGATACTTGATAACGGTGAGTGCACAACGCTATTCTAAAACTGCTTATATACATTGAAAGTTCTTACTGATTTTATCATGAAAATTTGTTTCGATTTTGAATAAAAACTAGTAGATAATCTTAATATTGATATTATTCCCAGGCTAATCTTCTCTATATCCTACCTAATTTATAGTTTTATTTAGCATTCATGACGCGCATACCTTTTGGATTAGGGACAATTTAAGATGAATTGGAAATTTTGTTTTCGTAAACTAGTTTTCAAGACAACTTATATTTAAAAACTGTTTATATATCGATGATATCTAATAAATTCAATGCTGGTTCTACTAAAATAATAAATTTTTGTAGTTCAGATTGATGGTGGTCATGTTGATCATTTCGATTGCAAGCTTGTAAATTAATCATTTCACTTATAATTTTATGTTCTGTTTTTTCTAAAGGAAATTCGACGAGTTGAATTAAATCATCTTGTTTTTTATTCACTAGTTCCGGTAACTTATTTATATTGAATAGATTTAAATTATTGAATATATATTGATATACTTGATGTTCTTGCTTAGCACGTATTTGCCATAAATAATTTGATCGTGTAGTTTGTTGTAAATCATAAAGATTCGGTAATTTATTATGTGGTATGCAAGTTAAAAAACGCGGATTATATGTTACTTTCCATATGATTGACATAGCATCTTCATCAACATTGACTATATGATAATTTTGTTCTTTAGCCTTATCAATGGTAACAACCATGCCATGTGCTCTACCATTTTCACGCATAAATAATTCAATTTCTTCGATATCTAATTCAATAAAATCTTCGAAATAATTTATATTTAAGTTTTCATGTTCAATGTTTTTATTGAATATTTGTGTTAAATCTAAATCGCCTTCGATATTTTCCAGTGGTGAATAATCGAATAGACAAATTTTATCACGAATATGAGTAAAAAACCAATGATAAACATCTAATCGTGTTATTGATGAATCGGATGAACGAACAAGAAAATCAACAAATGATGTATCAGACCAACCCGCAGTTATTAACCAAATTGTTGATGATGACGACATTGTAGTTTAGTCGAAAGAAAAATATTTTATAAAGATAAGCATTTTGTTGTTGATGATGTAATAATTTACTTTTCTTATAAAAGCCATGAGTAATATGTTTTTAACAAAATATTTTTTATGAAAGACTTGAAGCTGATTTCGAGCGAATGAATATTAAATATTTATTTTACTAAAATACTGTTTATTTTGAATGTCGAAGCAACCGTTGCAGATGTCCTTACAAACGATTCTGCTAATTTTACGTTCCTAGTTATACTCCAGTTCTGTTATGGAGTTCTTTTAAGATATATTCAGTACGAAAGGAAACGATATGGTTTCTCCCGCAGAAATTTTATTTGATCACTGAAAGCTCTGTCTAAGCAAAGCATATGTGTGTGATATTTTTATTTTCTCAAAACGTTCAAAACGATTCTAGCGTACTAGCAAGTTCGAATATTTTAATTCATAAAGATGTTCAATAGTACATATGACGAATATATGATTTACTCATACAACCAGAGATTCAAATTGAATATTCGAGCAAGCGTTTCTAATACATGTGCAGCTGATTTCACCATCGTCTCATAACCAAATGGATTGATATTTTCTATTGTATCACATGCCTGATGGTAACATGAATCAAAATGTATACCAGCGATCCCGTCGTACCCATGACCCAACACTCTACCATAACGATCTCGTCGTTCACTTGTTTTTATGGTGTCTGTTCCGGAGAATGTACCAGCACAAGGAATACCAGCAAACAGAAATGGAACATAATCACTAAGGATAGGTTCACTCTCATCCCATGGCAGATCGTGTTTATCGAACCAGTTCCGAAGTACTTGTAAAATTGTGTCTGAAGCATTTTTCACTTTTGATGATGTTGCGCTTGGAAGCTTTGCAGGCTGATAGATACTAAAATAGTAGTTCGATGAAGCAAGCATATAGAAATTTAATACTAGTATATAGTCTTTCAAACGGTTACTTTCGATGGTTGTTGTATTCGGTTCTTCGACATGGTGATGTGCTCAGAGTAAATTATTTTCTTCTGCACCCCACCAACAGAATCGGATATGATACAAATATTTCTCGTAGTACGATGATTGAAATAGATTAGCTAAATTCAAAGCTAAAACAAGAGTTGCCATAGTACCACTACCTACTCGGAACGAAATAATCTATTTGAAATTGAGTAAAATAAAAAATGAAATAGTACACCATTATCCAAGGGGGGAAAAGCGGCTCCTGGTGGCTCCTGATGGATTCTAGAATCCACCAGGAGCCTTAGATTCCACCAGGATCCACCAGAATCCACCAGAATCCACCAGAATCCATAGAATCCATAGAATCCACCAGAATCGACCCGGATCCATTTTGATTAGTGAATTTATATCAATATTTTAAACAATTTTCAGCTGCTAAAGAAAACAACGAGACTCATATATGTCGGATCTATATGACTTTGATCGAGTTTTGAAAAAC